CCTGCTCAAGCGTCACCTGTGCCGTCCTGGTCCTTGATCAGGGTGCCCTCTTATCTTCTCCTCAGTTTGTGGTAGCCCCTTCAGTTCAGGTTTCTGCTCTTTGGTACTGGTGGTAGGTTTGTACGTTTGCAGCCTTTCTCCGTCCTTCTGGCGATGGTCAAGATGGCTGCTTTCCGGAGGGGTCCTTGGGTTATTGATGCTTGATTGGTTCGGCCAGGGGTGCGTCCTGTGTTGTCCGGTTGCGCTTCTTTGCCGTTACCTGCATACCATGTCTGGGGATGCGCTTTGGGTAGATCCGGTTCCCCTCGTACCCTGTTTCAGGGCTTGGGTCGCCCAGATCATCCGCAGAGTTTTTAAGTCTTCCAGCCTGCGGTCTATCCTTGCACCCGTGCTGTTCGGACGTTTGCAGCTTTTGCTGCTGTGTTGGTGACGTCTAGGGCTCATTTCGGGCGCAAGGATTTGAGGGTTGCACCGGTTCCTGGCCGCCCATTCTTTATGCGCGTGTCTGCTCCTGTGCATTCTTGTTGCCTTGGGTCGCAGGTTGCAGCCTGTTGTCTCGGCTCTGTGTTGCAGAGTTTGTGGCAGCCGCCTCCCGGGTCAGCCCTTTCTTTTCCTTCTCTTTGGGTATGAAGCTCCATGGAGCCGTAGGGTCTTCCCACAGAAAACCAGCGTTGAATGTAATGAAACGCCATTTTCTGGGTGAGCCCTGGAAATTCATCGCAATTTATATGTTGATGAAACATTGTGTGAAACACGTAATATCACATTATTGGAGCAAAGACAACACTGTTCCAACACTATTGTTCGGGAAATATATGTCCCGAGACCATTCACCCTGGTTCATTGGTGGACAGTGGGAAGGTGAACAGAACAACAAAGCAAATACAGTAATATATAAGCCAGATTGTGTGATAGACTACAACATCAACATGCGTTTAGTCGATAAATGTGACATGATGGTGGGTGCCGTAGAGTGTGTACGGAAAACAGTGAAGTGGACAAAGAAAATGATTTTCGACCTTATTGACGTAACAATGCTGAACAGTTACAACATGTATCTTGTGAAAACAGGTAGAAAACCATATTTCCGTTCGTTTAGTTTTCAAGTTGTGAAACAGTTACTAGGTAAGTTTGGGAAAGACACCCCTGGCATACAAAGACCCATTTGGGACCCAATATTGAACCATGCTCCTGCACCCAGGCTCTACCACCAACTGGAGCTCGTGCAGCAGGCCAGCGTCGGTGCGTTGTGTGTTCCAGCACCAAAATGAGTCCACAGAAACGTAAATTGGTGTTAACATGGTGCGAAGCGTGTGCAGTCCCTCTGTGCCATATCGACTGTTTTGCACAGTATCGCAGTCTCTAGGACTACTAAATGTGTAATACTTTTGTAAATAAATGTACATATCAAGTTAATTTTAGTGTTTATATTGAAAAAAAAATACATTGTATATTTCCTGTAAACTATACCATTTTGGTGGGCATACTTGTGACAATAATATGTGAGCACGTAGTGAGTTTATATCAGTTTTATTATAATACGACGTCAAGTGACAATAATTGAAACAATACTAGCGAAAAAAAATTCTCACGATTCATGGGCATTTCGGGTCGTCTCCTCCACCCTGTAATGGCATTGGGCAGCTCCACCTCCTTCGGAGGGTTCGGGGCTGATGGGGCAGGCTTCTTTCCCTATGCTCCATTGGTTCATCTTGGAGTTGGTGCGCTTGGGCGTGGTCAAAACGACCCAGTCCCTCAGATGGGTTTCCCGCCTGTTTACAGTGCCGAAACGGGACTTTGCAGATCTGCGGTTCATTCTAGACTTGTCCTGACGAACCCCTGGATTCCTTGCCCCTCCTTTCAGATGACCACTCTTGTCTCAGGTCCAGCTCCTGTTGGAGCCAGGTGCTTGGATGGTGTTTGTGGACCTCTGGGTCACACATTTGCACGTTCCCATTTATCCGGGGTTCAGGGACAGGTTTCGTGGTGGGATGGCAAGCTTATTCTTTTCGTTGCCTTCCTTTTGGTTTGAATCTGGTAACTTGCGTATTCATGCTTCTTGCCCGGGTCGTAGTGACCCATCTGCGTCTGCTAGGGGGTTCAGGTTCGGGTTCTAGCCTACCTTGATGAGTTGTTGGTGTGGGCTTCCAGCTGGTCTGCTTGTCTGCTCATCAGGGGTGTGGTTCTTTCCCAGTCTCTCCCTCCGGAGGTATTGCTTCGGCTGCGGTCCCACCTTCTTGAGGTTATCTTGAGATGATTTCGGGGCTTTAGTGTCCCCGCGGCCCGGTCCTCGACCAGACCTCCACCCCCAGGAAGCAGCCCGTGACAGCTGACTAACACCCAGGTACCTATTTTACTGCTAGGTAACAGGGGCATAGGGTGAAAGAAACTGCCCATTGTTTCTTGCCGGCGCCTGGGACCGAACCCAGGACCACAGGATCACAAGTCCAGTGTACTGTCCGCTCAGCCGACCGGCTCCCAACCTTCAGCTGTTTCTGGGGGGGGGGGGTCCCGGGTTACTTGGCAGTTGCTTGAGCAGTTGTGTGTGAATCTGAACTTCGCCGTGCTAGCTTACCCGCCAGGTCGGGTTTGGCTTCGGCATCTGTTCTGGTTCCTTCGGGGACACTCCTTCTGCCCCTCTTGCAATCGCTGGGTTTGGCCTCCATGGGCCTTGCATCGGCTGCTGCGTTGCTGGCTTCTTGTTTGGGTTTTGGCCGCTTCAGAGTGTTCGGGTCGTTCTGGGTGCAGTGATCCAGCTGCATTCGGACTTCTCTCTGGTGGTTCATTGTCTGAACCACGGGGGTTCTCTTCAGTCCTTGGCTCTTTGGGGCTGGTTGACTCATCTGCTAGATTCTCCGGGGTTTGGCTCTCCATGCAGTTCATATCCAGGAAGTGTCCAACGTCCTTGCAGACAGCCTGTTTCAGTTCATTTCCCAGTCCATGGAATGGACAGTCAATACAATTCCTTCAGTTGGCTCTGCTGGATGTACGGGCTCACGGAGGTGGACCTCTGCGTCAGCATGGTCTCGGAGTCTTCCGATATATGTGGTGCCCTTCCCCGACTGCGGGGCTGTCGTGGTAGATGCCTTTCGGCAGGACTAGTCGAGGTGGGGTTACCTATACTTCTTGCCCTGGCCCAGCTGTTGCTTCGGGTTCTGGCTCGGTTGGAATTTTACCATGGGAGAGTCGTCCTAGTGGCCCCTTGGTGGCCTGCCCAGCCATGATTTTATGCCCTGCTTGCTCGGTGTCCAAACCCAGGGCATTTTCAGCGGCTATGCCTCATTCAGCAGATCAGACCGGTCCGGTACATGGCTGGTTCGGTCTCCTCCTCCGCTCTTCGCGTTTGGTATTTTGACACGGGTTTATCACCACTTGTATGGTGATCAGGTGGCTTCGTTGATGGTGTCCCACCTGCGAGCTCCGTCTCGGCAACAGTATGAAGTTTCCTGGCATTCTTTTTGTCATTTTCTGTCTCTTCATATATTGTCTTCTATTTCTGATCTGGTTGTCAAGCCCCGAGGCTCCCTGGCAGCCCTCCCTCTGGTCGGCAGTTTTTCATGTTCTTTGATGCTTAGCTTCTGAACTGGAGTGCTAGGTAGCGGGCACGGGGCTACCCCTCCCCCAGGAAGGGTACAGCTGCACGGACAAGCGGCGCAGCGGTGAAGTGTGACGTTTGCTTGTTTCCTTGGGATTGGAGGGAGTTCTGCCTTTTTATTTTCCTCTTTTTTAGTTGTATTTTCATACCATGTGGGGTTTGTTTTGTTATACCTACCTTTCTGGGTGCCTAACCCTGGTCGATGACAAATAACGAAAAACCCCAACTACAGTTTTTCAAGGTCATTGCTCCCTGAAACTTCTCTGAGGGGAGCCAAGTTCTGGCTCGTGGTCCCTGGTAGGTTGAACTCCATAGACTTATTCCCCAGGTCTAATATATCACACATTAGCCCGATAGCTCCAGGGAGCCTCCAGGGCTCGCCCAGAAAATGGCGTTTCATTACATTCAACGCTGTTTTTTTATTGTACTGTATAGTAATTTACATAATGTGGAATAGCCAGAATATAATCATCAAATAATTCACTGCATATATACAACTCTCTCAGGTGGGGACGAAAGCGGTGGTTTATGTACCCACCTGATGTGGATCCCAAATTTCACCCTAACCGAACAACTTTACAATGGCTAATGGAAGAATACCCAAAGGTGAAAGATGATCCAAATCTTTACGAGTGTACACTTCTACCTGGGGAGGTATGCTGTTGGAGTGAATATTTTGTTGTTTAGTCAGAAATTATTTGGTGCATAGGTTTTTGGAACTTTATTTAGATTTGCACAATTAACCAAATAATAGCCTCTTTGCATTTATAAAAGAGAGTGAGTGTCAAAAAATGGGATATTTTCACATAATCTGCAATATGGTATGAAACTAGCCTATAAATGTAGAGCTGTCGTCTTTTTTTTTGTTTTTGTTTTAGTGTTTGAAGGACGTTATTCAAATGACTTTATATTATCTAGATCATTTATATTCACAGATCATCTATTTTCCTGACAAGTGGTGGCATGCAACACTCAACATTGATAGCAGTGTCTTCATATCAACATTTTTGAGCCCATAGTAGTGAAAGCATTTGTTACTCAGTAACATATTGCATGTTCATCAATTGCTTTAATTTTCAATGTATCATTGAGTGCTGTAAGCAGAAAAACAAGGCTGTATATATTATTTATGTTAAACTGTATATAAATGGTCACAATAAATATGGAGTAAATGATTTCAGCTTAGAGTAATTACATGTGTGTAACCTTTTTTGGAGTTGAGAGGCAAATTTATTCAGAGTTGGACAATATTCACTGCACATTTAAATGACAGTGTGACAAAGTTTGAAAGCAATCTCTAGCAATTCCAATAATTATCAAGTGTGAGTACAAGGGACCAACTTTATCTTGTCACAAAGGCCTTGGGCTGAATTTGAGGGAACAGCAAATGAATAGGTATTCAATCTTAGTAATATACTCAATACTTTGGAGTGTTTTAAATATACAGAATTACTCATTTAACATTCAGCATTTAAGAGTGGTGGCTAGTTTTTGTAATCTATAATTAATATTCTCATGTAGTCTGTGATAATCATTTAATGGTTAAATGCAATACACTGTACCTGTGTGTACTCTACACTTGTAGGCCTTCCTTGATGTGGTAAGTAACTATCAACTTCCTTGCTAGAGTACTTGTTTGTAGTTTAGATAAACAGTATTTGTCTTCTTAAATCTGAAGGGGTTTTAAAAACTCTTTACAGTATGTACTGTAAATTATTATAAATTTTATTTGGCCATGATTATTTCTGCAAGATATATTTTGTATTTTAGTATGATTTTATGTAGGTAGATGTTAATATTTGTAATTCTAACACATCAGCAGATTTTGTTAAATGTTACAATTTACAGGTTTAGCTTATTACTTGTGTGTATAGATATTGAGAAAAATTTGCCTTTTGTGTAGTAATCACAATTCTTAACCAGATCATTCCAAAGATGAATACACATAGTGTATGTCATTTGTCATATTGTAATTTGATAGAACTGTTATTATATTTACAAATGTATCAGTTAAGCCTTTATATATTTATTAAAAATAATTACATTTAACATTTATTATCTTTCTTATTTAGTCTTTGAACATAAAAAGTCCATGGTTGAGCTAATAAATTATTTTAACAGAAAACTACCCACCTTGTGTGAACGAGAAACAGTAAATGAGCACAGTATTAACCCTCGTGCTGCTCTGGGCCTTAATGCCTTCAACACCGCCAGGCACAAGAAAAAATTAAAAAAAATTTTGTCTTATAAAAATTTTTATTTTTGTTCCCTGAGCACGGGAAACATAATAAAAAAATCGTGGGTGGCATATTTTGGCCGCAGTAAGGCAGGGAAGTCTGGCAAAAAACCAGCGTTGAATGTAATGAAACGCCATTTTCTGGGCGAGACCCGAAGGCTCCCCGGAGCCTACTAGGCAGATATGCTAATGTCAGACTTTAGCATCAGTAATGTGTATGGAGTTCTATGGGCCTACTGGGGACCACGAGCCAGAACCTGGCCTACTCAGAAGAGGCAAGGGGAGCAATGGCCTATAGAAACCCCCGTGTGGTTTGAAGCATTCTCTGTCTGCCATTGACCGGGTCAGGCACCCAGAAAGGTAAGCATCCCAAAACAAACCCCTATTCTGGTGAAAATATTGCTACCAAAAGCCGAACAAATGGATAGAACTCCCCTAAACGAAATGAGCAAACGATCATAACGTCACACGTAGCCACGCTGCTGTCTGCGCAGCTCCGGAGGGAGAGACAAGGAAGCGGTCCAAGAGTCCCACACAAGACCCAGCCATGTCCGAACCTGGGAGGGAACCAAATGGGACTTCCTCCAGTTCACCAAGAACCCGAACCCGGTGAGCTGGGAAAGAACCAAATCCCTGGCTAGCAGACAACTGGACCGGCTGGGAACCCAAACCAGCCAGTCATAGAGGCAGCCCAACACCCAAACACCTAAGAGACGCAGACGGGCCACAATGACCCGTGTAAGGCATGTGAACACGCGTTCGAACTTCCGGGTTCGAATCCTTCTTGGGTCAAGAGTTTTCTGATACTATTATTTTGTCATAGATTTAAACTAGCTAAACACAGATGCCAAAGAAATATAAGAAAATTCACTTTTGCAAACAGAGTGGTAGACGGTTGGAACAAGTTAGGCGAGAAGGTAGTGGAGGCCAGGACTGTCAGTAGTTTCAAAGCATTACATGACAAAGAGTGCTGGGAAGACGGGACACCACGAGCATAGCTCTCATCCTGTAACTACACTTAGGTAATTACAGTACACAGTAAGTCAGATACAGGACAACAAGCAGTGGCCACAGAAGCAGCTCATTTCTGGTTTTCCAACATCAAGAAAATGGTAAATTTAAAGTGTCCTCTCCTAACTTACCAGAGGACCCAAAACAGAAAACATGATTGTACAGCACAGTATGTTACTTTTGAGAGCCGCTTCCACTTTCTAGCATGGCAATTTTTTACCTTGTGTAACACATATGACCGAAATGTGACGTTCTTTGTAGAACAAGTTGGCAGAAGACAGGAACTGGGAAACCATGTCCTTGGGAAACAGGAGCAACGAAAAGGGAGAAGCGACGAGAGCGGGACCCACACCGAGTCTATGGACCAGGCCGTGCCGACCTGGTCTTGCCGGCATGCGAGATGAGAGGCAAAAAATGCACCCACTGCCTGCCAGAGGATTGAAGCATGCAGCATGAGGATGGCTACCGATGCAGAAGCAGCAGACCAAAACCCCTCACAAGAGGAACCTCACCAAGCACCCGAACATACTCAATGAGCCAATCGCAATGAAACTCAAGAAGTGCATGATGGAACCCAAGTGCAAGTGACCACAAGGGTTGTCTATAACTAATGTAGCTGACAGCTGAGGAACTCGAGTATGCAGCTGCTTGAAACAACATGGGAGAGAGCAGGAGCATTGAGGCATGCATTGAGAAGCTCAAAAGAACACCCCAGAAACACTTGCAACACAGGAGACACTTACCACTCAAACATGTGGGAATGAAAGGCATAATTCAGGTTGCACTGGAGGTATACACAAAGGGCCTCCCAAGCTGCTGCCGGGGGTACTTGAGAGGTAAAAAAACTCTGGAAGGATGAAACTAAAGACCCCAAAGGAACTGAAGAAGCAAATCCTGGGAAAAGCTGCACCCAAATTGAACTCATACAAGGAGTGGAAATATGAAAACCTCACCCCCAGCAACAAAGACCCTCTGCAGAAGGCACCTCGGAACACAAAGGCTCAAACCAGACCCAAGGACCCAATTCTGACTCCCAACAAGCCCCAGGAATTGCAGAGGGCCCTGGAGCAGAGCCATAATCCATGCCCACTGCCCAGGATAGAAAATCAGAGTCCAAGGGAGAGGCCTTGGCAGAGGCCTCTCGGAAAAGGCCCAGCCGGAAAAACACAGGAGCCTTGGCCAGTTCAGAAGGCTCAACTGCCTTCTCTTCCAAGTCGGAAAGGGTAAACCCCGGATCTGCCCAAGCTACGTCCTGAGCTAAACCCCACGACCCCATAACCACTACATTCCCAATGCCAAAACCTAGACCCCAAAACCCCTCAGACACTATAAGGGGCCTGAAGCAGTGGGTTGGCAGTGAAGGAAGGATCAGAAGGGCGCACCATGCATGCCAGGGAAGCTGAGTGATCCACAGTTGAGTCAACCAACACTTCCAAAACTGAGATCCTAACACTGTAGGACAAATCTGCGGCAACCATCCAGGTACACAACATAGAACACTGCACTACAGAAATGCAAAGTGGTCACTGCCAGATACCCTGGAACTTCATTAGAAGGGCAGGTAAGGATAGTAATGTGCTGGGAAGTAGTCCCACACACAACTCGGGATTGTGTCACCAACCTAGCAGGCAGCATGGCGGAAGCAGAAAGAACGAACATCACCTGGTGGCATAGATGACAGACAACCCTCAAATTCGCACAAAGCAAGAGTAGGTCTGGCTAACATATCCATAGTACATATCCAAACCCGCAGGGGTTTTCCAGGACCTGCAGGGTGGGTGTTTCCTGCAGGTATGCCCATGCACTGTGAATGCTATGCTGATAACCCATATATAGTGGTGTAGGCACCCTCAAAATCCGACGCCAGCAGAAAGGGCAAGAGAGAGACCAAAGGGGATGATCCCCACCCAGTCTCCAAGTAAAACCTAATAGAGGCAGGAACAGTATGAATAAAACTCCAAAGTGGAATGTGGCACAATTGAAACTACGAGCCCCTGAAAGCACCGAAGAGTAAAATAAAAGACCATAAATTCTCAAGGCACCAGACCATGGAGAATGAGTAAACAAGATAAAAAGTAGACTGAACCATATATATAAAGCTGGAAGGACTACCTCTGCACTCTGGCAAGGTCGCACAAACCAGTGCACCCCATTAGCCAAAAATACCCACCAACCCAAAGACAGACAGACACAGTCCAGGACAATTGACTTACCTGAAGGTTGAGGGGTCACCACAAGAGAGGAGACCCACTAAGGAAGTGAAATGTGAAACCCTTCAAGGAAGATAACCTTAACAGCACAAGGGCAGCACTTATGTACACCAAACTCTTGACTCACGCTGCACAACCATGCACAGGAATAACCTCAAAAACAAAACACCACTTACCCTAAAACACGAAACCAAAGCCAGAGCTAACTGAGAGGGCGACCAGGCACAGTACATATCACGATAAGAACTGGTGGTGGAGCAGCTGGCTGACCCAGTCTTGTCTCCATCCTTTCCCCAAACGAGGGAAAAGGTATGGGGCGAACTAGCTCATACTAGTTTCGGTAATTTTTTATAATTTGTTTATATTGTTGGGGGAATTATTTTTGGGGTGTTTTGAGGCTGCTGTCTGGTTTCTAACCAAGCAATAGTCTGTTTTGTTTTGCAGCAATAGTCTGTTTTGTTTTTGTTTTGTTTTTGCTGTTTTGTTCTAGGTGCCTTTTCTTGGTCATAGAAGATATGAATAAATTTACAAATTTTCATAGTATCACTGCTCCCTGTGCCTCTCCAAGGGTGCTTGTAGTCCTCGGTAGGCCAATAACTCCGTGACTACTGGCACCTTGTAGCCTGGCACTATATAGTATAGTAGCTTCAGTGAGCCACAAGTTGCTCCCTCCATAAAGGTAGTAATTAATACAATTGGCAATGGAACACTGAAACATTTAAATACATAAACATTTATATATAATATATACATATATATATATAATATATATATACATTTATACATACATATATACACAGTATATGAAATTGTGATGTGTTTTCCTTTATGCATAATGAAACCTTGAAAAGCCATGAACCCTAGTGTAATGGTAAGCTTACCTGCCTCCCTCTGACACCGAGTAAAACATGACAAAAATATTTAACAATAATTGTCCTTATGCTCTTCTGTGCCTCATTTTCTCTGGGAGCTGTCCATGCTTGAAGGAGTAGCTACATGTATAATCTTAGAGACTATATTTTAAATGTAGTACAAATCCTTAAATGGCATCAGCTAGTTATCAGAACAGTGATTAACACTTGCTTGCATTGAGAGAGAACAACTGGAGTTTGAACACTCAACAGTGGGACAATTTGGCACCATTCTTTTGCCATTACCACTTGGTAACGGCAAATACCAGCCACTTGGGCTGGACGGTAGAGCGACGGTCTCGCTTCATGCAGGTCGGAATTCAATCCCCAACCATCCAAGTGGTTAGACACCATTCCTTTTCCCCGTCCCAAATCCTTATCCTGATCCCAGTGCTAAATAGTCGTAATGGCTTGGTGCTTTCTCCGGATAGATAGGCGCAATTTGGCTTGACACTTTTCCCCTGAAAATTCCCTCCATTCCTTTAAATATTATTATTTATTTTGAAATGTGTTATATGACAGAGTGCTGGGGAGATGGGACACCACGAGCGTAGCTCTCATCCTCTAACTACACTGAGGTAATTATTCTGTGCACCGAGCAGTAATTGGAAACCTGAATGTAAAACAACTGGTGGATTATACTTGGGAAAGTATGGCACTGAGTAACCTAATTGCTTCCAATACCTAGTCCAAATCTCTCCCAAAATAAACTAAAAATACATTCTGGTTCAATTCATAAAATGTACCACTTTCCTTGAATGAGAAAAATAGAGGATTGCAACTAACAAACTCTGTTGGTGGCTGGGAGAGAGAGAACAGGAAAGCTATGAAAAGATTGACAAGTGGAAGGAAAATATTTGAAACTGCATACATTGAAAGTATAACATAAAGATGGAGAAAATACAACAGAGGCCAGAGAAAAGTCAGTGGGGAAAGAGATGCCATACTTGCTCATAGCAGTACAGTACTTTCATAGGCAACTGCTCTAGCAACTGTTTTAATCCATTTGAATGAAATCTGTTGTAATGTATTTTGCTGTGCATGGATGGTGTTTGTAAATCATTAGGGATAATAAATATTCAGATTCCCAATTTCATATTTATTAGTTGATACTACAACATTAATAAATCAACCCAGCATTCTGAAATGACAGTACTTATAGCCACTATTTGGTTGAACGTAACAATACGTAGTAGTGTGCACTAGGCCTAGCATGTCTTGGTCAGGTTAGGTTCTTAAACGAAGCAACGAAGAGTTACCGCCGCACACCAGCCAGCCACTCGCTGCCACTCCCTCCACACACGCACTAAACTTACTTTCCCAACAATACCATTTGTGGTGTTATTACACTATATACAGACGTTATATATAAGTATGTATATATTTTGTTCACCACAACTGTACAGCTAAGCTGATATAGTTAGTTCAGGCACTAACCCGCTAAACACACACCGAAACTACGACGTTGGTACAACGTTCGAACAAGTTTTAACACCTCCTAACCAGTTATAACAACCAATATAGCAAGTTGTAACAACGTTCTAATACGTCATAAACACGTTAAGCCAAGATATAACAACTATATTACAAGTTGTAACAAGCGGAAGATATAGACAGTTTCGGTTTGTGTTTCCAGGGAAGAGTCGTCGCTATACACAACTGGCGGCTCCCACACTCATTCCAGGTCACACGCACTAAACTTTCTCCCCCAACAATACTGTTTGCAGTGTTATTACCCTATATACACATATTATATATAAGTATCTACATGTTTTATGCACCATAATTGTACACCTAAGCTTGTAGAGCACCCAAAGAGCATAGTGGCCACCCTCTAAACAGATAGACAAATCGTGCAGATGACGTCACCTCCGTCACCCAAATGGCTCCTCCAAGCATAATCCTTTTGCTGTTATTACACTAATACACACATTATATATAAGTATCTACATTTGTGTTCACCATAGAGAACCACTGAGCTGGTATGGTGAATGCAAACAATAACAGGTGGCCACACAGTCAGTAAACGATGCTGTCTCCTTCTGTCTCTCAGCATCACTCCTCCCACAGCGCTAATTATTACAGCAATCCTGCTATTATCACAACCCTGGATATTTATATCACAGTCAGGGGTCATTTGTAATATTGTCATCGCTAAATAATACCAATTATATATTTATTTTGACATTTTTCGGCGAAGCTGTGGTCACAACCTGAACAGCAATGCTGTTCGCTCATGCTGCGTGCACCAGCCTTGGTTGCTCCAACAGTACTGTGCCTCTCACACCTGAGAATATTGCCCACGAATTTTTTTTTAAATGGCGTATGTTTACAAGAGCCCTGAGGAAGCTAATGTGAACCCCATGTAGCCGCGGGCCATTTGAATCAGGCCTGGCACCCTATGGCGTATATATACGCCATGCGCACCGTGGGACATGTTACTCCGGGCGTATATATACGCCATGCGCAGTTTAAGGGTTAACAAACAATCTAATTTAGGCTTTGCCCCTTTTCTCTATTTTCTTCCTCTTTTTCTTACCCCCTTCTCTTTCTTGTATCTCTTTTTTTTCCTACTCTTACCTTTCCTCTTGCACATTTACATTCTTTTCCTCATCTGTCAACTGAACTCTTTCCTCTCCATATTTTCCTGTCCCTTCCTCTCTTATATCACATGACTTTATAATGATCCAGGACGTTATAATGGACCATTATAAAGAACTTTATAATGATAATAAATTATCATTATACCAGGCAATAAATTATCATTATATCAGGCAATAAATTATCACTATAATGGACTTTATAATGATTCAAAACGTCATTATTTCTTCATTTTCCAAAGTGTGGTTTGGTCATAACTACCACAGTTTGTTAGTCATCAGTTACAATAATTATATATATTTATGTTAAACAATCCTTAATAGTAGTCAAAATAATTTAATTATTCCTAGATATAAAGCTATCCCTCATTTTAGTGACCAGAATATTCAGCACATACATTAGATGGAAGATTAAAACAATGGTAGATTTACATGTTTGCAAGCCTAAAAGGTGCACATTTCATCACAGATTTGTGAATTGTACCTCACATAAGTGGCTTTTCACTCTTTACTAGGTCTTGTAACAAGGACATCTGGGCTTTCAGCTCTTCCATCTTGAGGCCTAAATCAAAAGAAAAATGGTTAGACATCTTATTAATATCCAAGTTATAATGAATATCAGAGTTTAGGAATTTACATGGCAATGCAAAAACACTTTGATAATACAATACAGTAATTTATTATTAGAACGTTAGACTAAGTGTCAAGAAAGTAAATGAATTTGTGCATGCATATATGCCACGTGTGCGAATGCTGGTTGTGCTCTTGCCTGCATGTGTATGTAGTAAATGATGATCAGCTGCTCTGTACTGTGTGTGCGAGCGCCTGTAACACTTCCCGATTGTAACTCCACTTCCTCAATTAAAACCCCAGCTTAACACTGCTTGCAAGCTCACTGTGATCCTCATTGAACTCCCAGCTAAATGTTAAACTGAAATATTAAATGGGGAAGCTACAAATTAAGGGTTATGATTTAATAAATATATAATAATTAACTTACTGCTGCCACCACCTTCCTGTAAAAGTGAATGTGACTGGATTACTGATTTCCCAGGAAGGACAGAAATCAATAATTATGAACTCGAAGGGCATAGGAACCTTGGCAATTAATGCTTGGAAATTATTTATGGAAAATCTTTACTTTATTGTGAGGACACAGGGAACTTCCAATACAGCATGTAAAATCAATAATGAGATTGATGAATAAAATAGAAGAGGAAATTAGCTAAACACTCAAATAAATCAATATGAACTTTATTCAGTAAAACCAGCGTTGAATGTAATGAAACGCCGCTTTCCGGGTGAGACCCGGAGGCTCCCCGGAGCTTACTAGGCTGATATGCTAATGTCAGACTTTGGCATTATTCATGTGTATGGAGCTCTGTGGGCCTACCAGGAACCACGAGCCAGAACCTGGCCCCCTCAGAGAGGGGAGCAATGGCCTATAGAAACCCTCCGTGTGGTTGGAAGCAATTCTATGTCTGCCATCAACTGGGTCAGACACCCAGAAAGGTAAGCATCCCAAAACAAACCCCTATTCTGGTGAAAATTTTGCTACCAAAAGCTAAACAAGTGGATAGAACTCCCTTAAAATAAACGAGCAAACGAGCATGACGTCACACGTCGTCGCGCCGCTGTCTGCACAGCTCCCCCCTCCCCGGGAGGAAGAAAGAGGAGCCCCAGACCCCCGCACCAGCTATCCACACTTCAGTTCTGAGGCTGGATGCCAAACCATGCAAAAAAAAAAAAATTGCCGACCGGAGGGAGGGAGTTATGCCAAGGAGCCTCCGGGTCTCACCCAGTAAATGGCGTTTCATTACATTCAATGCTGGTTTTCTGGGGGGGGGGGAGCCCCTTCGGCTCCCCGGAGCTAACTACCCACAGAGGAAAAAGTAGAGGGACTTACCCGGAAAGCGGTAGCTGCTCACTCCTCAACTCGAAGTCGAGACAACTGGCTGCAACCGCCGACCCAGCACGACACAGGCCCGATAAGGCCCAGGAACGTTCACGAGATATCGAGCAGCCAGGACCCTGTTCGACCCCCAAAAATCCCGCGCCTGAATGTCAGACAAGGACATGTTGCCAAGGACGGCAGCAAGCGCAGCTAACTTACGAACGTCATGGGCACGGGGATAGACCGCAGGCTGGCTAGACTTAATAACACTGTGGACGATCTGGGAGACCCGCACCTGTGAACAGGGAAGAAGGGAAACCGGATCAACCCGAAGCGCGTCTCCGGACACAGAAGCCGTGGCGTGCAAATAAATGCGGAGGACCGCTACCAGACACAAAACATGATACACCCCGGCCTGACCAACCAAGCATCAACAACCCAAGGACCCCTCCGGAAAGCAGCAGTCTCATTCTTTGCCAGAAAAGGAGACGGTTGCAAACGAACAAAACCATCACTACAACTAAAAGAGCAGAATCCCCTGCGCCGGAGGAGAGCATGAAGCTCCCCAACCCGACCCCCAGAGGCCAATGCCAACAGGAAAAAAAGCCTTTGAAAAACAATCCTGAACTGAAGGGGCCACAACAAACTGAGGAGAAGAAAGAAAAGAGAGCACTCTGTCCAAGGACCAGGACAGCTCAGGCGGGGCATGAGCAGGCCAGAGGTAAAACAACGCACAAGGCAGTTTGCGAAACAGCACAGAAGTAACATCAATACCACCGCTGGCCTAAGGCAACGACGCGAAAGCCCACAAATAGTGGGACCAGGCGTGAGTGAACAGCACAAGCCTCTCCCCCTATCGTCCCGTCAATGGGGCGAACCGCAAAAGGGCCAGCGCCCCTTATGAGACTCAGAACCTCATACAAAGCGAACACCGCACCGACCAGACGAAGGCGGGTCCAAAGGCGGAACCGAACCCGAAACTGGCACCTGTGGCTTATCACGATGAGCAGAACCCCAAGCCCTGGCACGACCCCTCCAGGAAGGCCCCCCTTTCGGGACCCCATCCCCACTCCTTGTAACAAAAAGCCCTGCTCAGAGGGTAGAAAAACCTAGGTGGGGTCCAGCAGGGCCCAAGGCCCCCAAGTCAGCCCCTCCCCCACCCCAGGATCCTCCTCCACAGGACCCAGGGCCAAGTCATCCCCCAGAGCACTGGCCCCCTAAAGAAAAGGCCGGCGCAGCCAAATAAGCTAGACAGAAGGGGGCCCACTGGTCAGACCCAGAAGCTTCGGCTGGGAGATCAGACTCGAATGCCTCCGTCACCACACCAGAAGGGGCATCCCTCTAGACTGCCCGAGTCTCAAGACCATCTAAACCCTGCCCCGACTCCAAAACCCTTAGACGCTTCGGAGCCGAAAGCGGGGAGGGGGGGTGGACCAGAACGAACCACGACAGGGGAAGGACGAGGGGGGTGGACTGAACAAAGGTCGAAGCGACCCCCACCCCAAAGTCCGGGTACCTATAAGCAAAACGGGGCAGCCTCGGGGCATCCGGGTGAGCAACCAACCTAGCGCCTTGCAACAACCTGAAGCACACATTCAATGCCTGCACCGCCTGTACCTGTAGATCATCATCAGTAGATTGGGTAAACAGTCACTAGCAAGCAACAGAACTCGCAGGACTGGTCGAAAGTGTCACCGACCCAACAGGCAGTGTGACGGAGGCAAAAACAGTGAGGGTCACCCTGAGACAAGGGAACCGAACAACCCTCGAACTCGCACGAAGCAAGGGGGGGACTCCAGGGACAAATCCATTGGACCCATGCGCCCCCTAGGGGTTTCCCAGGGTCCTGAGATGGAACTCACGCTCGGGGACTCCCAGCCAGGGTACTGGTAACTGGCACCCAAAACTACCAGGTAACTTTCTAAAGCAGGGGGCACCACCAGAAGAGAACCGTGCTCAGGTTCACAAGCACAAATGAGGAAAGCAAGGCAGATCCCTCTACAAGGCAAAAACAAAAAAACCCGCAAGAGGACAACGTACCCAAAGGAACAGAGCCGGCCGCTATGAATGGTGAAAACAAGCTGTGCAGCACCCTGCGCCCAGTACCAGGGCAGCTGCCTCTTACCCTATGGTAAACAAAGAAGACAAAACCCCCAAGCACCCAAAGGGCAGCCGAAAAACTGAGCAGTAATACGGCCCAGCAGAGGCAGGCAACCGAGGAACTTGTGAAAGGTTGCCCCAAGTCCCAAGGGCAGTACTTGCAGGGCACCTAGGGACGATAACCCTAGGCGCATGCAGCCCGAATACTGTAGAATAACTCCTGGCTCTCGCATCCCTGGAAGAAAGCACCACACCCAAAGCACAGCGCTGGAATTACTGGAGCCAGAACACATGGTTAGATGGTTGGAACAAGTTAAGTGAGAAGGTGGTGGAGGCCAAAACCGTCAGTTGCTTTAAAGCATTATATGACAAAGAGTGCTGGGTAGACGGGACACCACGAGCGTAGCTCTCATCCTGTAACTACACTTAGGTAATTACACGACCTCTGTCTCTAACATCAGCCTTAGAACTGAAGGGTGGATAGCCAGCATGGGGGTCTGGGCTCTCCCTTCCCCCCTCCCGGTGAGGGGAAGGTTACCTTGAGGTGCTTCCGGGGCTTAACGTCCCCGCGGCCCGGTCGTCGACCAGGCCTCCTGGTTGCCGGACTGATCAATCAGGCTGTTGGACGCGGCTGCTCGCAGCCTGACGTATGAGTCACAGCCTGGTTGATCAGCTATCCTGGGGAGCTGCGCAGACAGTGGCGCGACGTGTGACGTCATGCTCGTTTGCTCATTTCTTTTAGAGGAGTTCTATCCACTTGTTCAGCTTTTGGTAGCAAAATTTTCAACAGAATAGGGGTTTGTTTTGGGATGCTTACCTTTCTGGGTGCCTGACCCGGTTGATGGCAGACATTTATTTATTTATTTATGCATATACAAGAATGTACATAAGGAATGTGAGGATACAAATATGGTAATTACAGTCTTGTAAAGCCACTAGCACGCGCAGCGTTTCGGGCAGGTCCTTAATGTAAGAAAATTTTAAGGAGGTAAATACTTGCAAAAATTATAGACAAAAAAATGATAACAGATTACATGAAATGAAAAAAAGATGAGAGAAAATTGTAGGTACAGTATATTAAAGCACATAGGTAGCTGAGATTGATTGCAATGACAGCTTGAATGGTAGTTGACAAAAAAATTGGTAGGCACAATACAGCAGAAACAATATAAGATTGGTTGCAATGACAGCTTGAATGGTAGTTGACAAAAATTGGTAGTCACAATACAGCATATGGCTAGCACATAGAAGAAGACAGCAATGAACACAATGATAAGGTTGTTTGATATTACATAAAAATTAGGAGATTGGGTAACACTAGGTACAGAGCAAATTTAAAGCTCAGTGTAGGAAACTAAGAAGATGAAGTTAGGTACTTTTTGGTTTTGCTTTTAAATAAGGCAAAAGTTTTACAGTTTTTCAATTCACTAGGGAGTGAGTTCCATAGACTAGGTCCCTTAATTTGCATAGAGTGTTTACACAGATTAAGTTTGACCCTGGGGATATCAAAGAGATATTTATTTCTGGTGTGGTGATAATGGGTCCTATTACATCTGTCCAGGGAGAGTTTCAGAGCATGGTTTGCATTTAAGAACAGGGTTTTGTAAATGTAGTTGACACAAGAGAATGTGTGGAGGGAGTTAATATTTAGCAAGTTTAGGGATTTAAACAATGGAGCCGAGTGTTGTCTGAAAGCAGAGTTAGTTATTATTCTGATAGCAGATTTTTGCTGTGTGATGATGGGCTTAAGGTGGTTTGCAGTGGTAGACCCCCATGCACAGATACCATAATTAAGATAGGGGTAGATTAGTGCATAATATAGTGAGAGGAGAGCAGAGTTAGGAACATAATATCTGATTTTGGAGAGTATACCAACAACTGTCTTAAGAGACTTTCTTAGTTATGTGTTGAATGTGGGTGCTGAAGTTGAGTCTCTTGTCTAGGAATAGGCCAAGAAACTTGCCATCATTTTTATTACTGATGTTGATGTTGTCTATCTGTAGCTGAATTGCATTTGATGATTTGCTTCCAAATAAGATGTAGTAAGTCTTTTCGATGTTTAATGTTAGTTTGTTCGTTGACATCCATAAGTGGACTTTTTTTAATTCATTATTCACATCATTACACAACATAGAATGCTTCCAACTACACGGGGGTTTCCATAGGCCATTGCTTCCCATGCCTCTCTGAGGGGGCCAGGTTTTGGCTCGTGGTCCCTGGTAGGCCCACAGAACTCCATACACATGACTGATGCCAAAGTCTGACATTAGCATATTAGTCTAGTAAACTCCGGGGAGCCGAAGGAGCTCCCCCCCAGAGAAAACACGTTTATATATATCCTAGCTGTAATTAAGTCCTACGAGGCAATAGGGTGAACTACTCCAGATGTATCCTGACTCCGTAACACATTACCTTAATATCTGTACTCTCCAGCCAATGATGCAGAATGGCCCTTTCCCTCAGACCTTTGATGCCTGACCAAGTTCACACCCCAGAACACTCCCAGTACACACTAAACTAAAATTTGTTCACAAGCTTACCAGTTGAGGATAGCTCCTCCCACAACTAATACAGATCCTGGACTCCTCCCATTACTTTTGGCTACAGGCAACCATTTAAAAACTAGGCCCGAGGTCTGGCGCTCAAGAGCCAATCAGGGCTTGGCACCAATCATATCCCTGGGACATACGTAGATTGAAATGGCTGCACGGCCAGCTGTAACGGGGAAACAAGCAACGTTTGTCTCCTTGTGACACACACCAGACCTCTCCCAGACCTGACCTCCCCGTAATCCGAGAAAGGTTCGTTTACCGAAATAGATGAATAATGTTCTAACCTGTCCCATCCGAGATACGGGAAGGGACACTTGACTCGTCTAGCGTAAGGTTTGTGGGGGAAGGGGATATGAGGCAACAGGGGGGAGGGGAAGACGAACGAGGGGAAGGGGAGATGTTAGGTCTGTGCAACAAACCGTTACACACCTATGAGCATTTATGTCAAAATGATCTTGTGTATCACTAACATTAGTCATTGGAGTGGTTTTAGAGCTAAAAGATATTTTATTGCAATAAAAATAAAAGTTTTACCAGAAATCATATGAAAAAAAGCTTACTGTGAACTTAAACAAAAGTGGATAAAAATTGTATAATTTACTGTAGGCAAGTATAACAAACAATCATTTTCTGCACATCTCCTCCCATCACTCGCATTGCTGCAATAAGTATTAGTATAAATTATGCTAAATCTACAGTTTGGTATAGCTCACCTATAGACTGAATAACTTCCGTTTTCTGACTCTCGTTTAGTTTGGAAAGTAATGTGGTGTAGTCTTCCAATGTTTCGGTAACCTGTGTATGCGTGTCTTCCATATCCTCTGAAAAGTAAACTGTTCCTGCCGACGCTCTCTGTAATAAGGTGTGAAAATTGCTATACTCATTTTTTTTCCACATTTGATACAGACAATAAATATAGTACATGTACTGAATGTACATGTAATAATAATAATGCAGGTTTTGAACCTAGAGGTACAAAATTTAAGAAACCAACACACAGTATTACCACCGTGCTATCGATAATAAAATATATGGGTCAGTGGCCTCAAACCCACCAACTCTATCTGGATTAGTGTTTATATATAATTAATTGCTCTATCTATGTTTTTGAAAGAACCAACTGGTACTACAATTCACATTTTCCAAATTGCTTCTGTGACCGAAAAAAAACAGCGTTGAATGTAATGAAACGCCATTTTCTGGACGAGTCCTGGAGGCTCCCCGAAGCTATCCAGGCTTATATGTATATCCCTAACCTTTGGCATCAGTCAGTGTGGATGGAGTTCTAGGCCTACTGGGGACCACAAGCCAGAACCTGGCCCCTCAGAGAGGTATGAGGAGCAATGGCCTATAAAAATGCACATGTGATTTGGAGCATTCTATATCTGTCATCGACCAGGAAAGGCACCCAGAAAGGTGCCTCAAAACAAACCCTTATTCTGGTTAAAACAGTGAAAATAACCAAACAAGTGGACAGAACTCCCCAAATGAAAACAAGCAATCAAGCATGACGTCACACGAGCCGCACCGTTTATCTGCACAGCTCCCCCCCCTCTCCAGAAGGGGGAAGGGGAAGCCCCAGACCCACCGTGCCGACAATGCAACCACTGTCGGAAAATCCGACACCATTTAATAATCATACAGATAATAGCTGTATTACCAACAAGTTACCCATAGAAAACGTAACTTGTAGTGGAATTACCGTCTATAGAAAACGGGATATCATCACCACATACTATTATAATTCACCACCTATTATGGTGGGAATTATTCTTAAATACATTAGTCTTTGGACTTTACCATCATAAAAACATCTCATATAAATTAACTTAATTATCAATATTAAAGTAGAGTAAATGTGACCCTTCTATCACTTTCTGAAATCTGGACAATGTAAGCCAGGCGTCAGGGAGGTAGGAGGGCAGCCATTGTTGTTGAGACTAGACCAGAGGCTCACAGGAGCAAATACGGCTCCTGTTAAATCTACTTGGACGTAGTGTTATGGAAACCAAGGGTGTACCATTTTCAACACGCTGTCAACAAATCAAGTGAAGTGTTTTTTCCGAAACCCAGTATCTTTCATTTATGGCCATTAATGTCATTATATAGGGTGACCCTGTTAGAGCACGTGGAAGCCTCAAACTAAAGGTAATTAAGCCAGGTCTTCAATGTTCCATGTACAGTATTTTCTCTGATATAGCTTGTCATATATAGGTATCTGGCTTCACAGTTAGCGCCCTTTTGACAGGTCAAGACGAGGAAGCAAGATTTTGTGCACCAGTTACTGGGTGATGGAAGCTACCTCAAAGAGGATAATTTGGTGTCTACACCCTAGTTATACCTGGTGGACTAACCTGCTGTACTATAAGATAAGGAACCTCTTCAATGTATGTAGTTAATACTGTAGTTTGATTGGCTGCATATATATAAATATAAACCCCCCTAATGTGTAGAGGATCGATTTGTGAGATTAAGAGATTATTGCAGAAATACAGTCCACTTATCATTATACAAATTGCTATCGAAGTATATAAATTAACGTAAATATAAATTCATATAAATTAAATAAATATAAATCTCACAGGTCGGTTCCCACAACCACTAGTTCTTAGGCTGGATGTCAAAACACGCAAAAACCCCCGACCGGGGAAAGAGGGGTTGCCGGGGAGGTTATCTTGTTATCTTCTTGAGGTTATCTTGAGATGATTTCAGGGCTTTAGTGTCCCCGCGGCCCGGTCCTCGACCAGGCCTCCACCCCCAGGAAGCAGCCTGTGACAGCTGACTAACACCCAGGTACCTATTTACTGCTAGGTAACAGGGGCATTCAGGGTGAAAGAAACTTTGCCCATTTGTTTCTGCCTCGTGCGGGAATCGAACCCGCGCCACAGAATTACGAGTCCTGCGCGCTATCCACCAGGCTACGAGACCCCCTAGGAGGTCGGGAGACTCCGAGACTCACCCAGAAATTGGCCTTTCATTACATTCAACGCTGGTTTTCTGGGGGGAGCCTATTCAACTCCCCGGGAGGCGGTCGGTGCTCGCATCTCAACTCGAAGTCGAGACAACTGGCTGCAACTGCCGACCCAAAGAGACACAGGCCCGACTAGGCCCAGACTGTTTTTTATTTTTTTATTTAAGAAACATGGAGCAGCCTACCCGACAAACACTGAACGAACCTTTATGGCATTTGTCTGTTTTTTAAATTATTTCAAATGTTTTTTTTATTTTTTTCATTTTTTTTTTAAGAAACATGGAGCAGCCTACCTGACAAACACCGGACGAACCTTTTTGACATTTGTTCTTTCTTTAAAAAAAATTCATTTCGTATTTCTAGAAAAAAGTCAATGCTTTGCAACATCCCAGAATCAATAGCATCTTTAAAGAAAAATCATTTATTTGCATCGTCAGAGGCGTCCGAGAATGTGCGAGAAGAAGCCCGCAACCCCACCCTGTGGCGTTGTTATTCAAACGAGCGGTCGCCTAACGAGACGAATTGTCGGCGATCGGGGCATTCGTTACTCAAATTGGTAGCCATTTGAGGCGGTCGTCACTCGAGGTTCTACTGTATTTGAAATATACATTTGAAATATATATTTGAAATATTATTTCATGGCCAATGAAGTAAAACAAACACTTACTGCATCATTCATCAGCTCCATAGCTTCTGTAAACTTCTCAGAGATAGTTTTAATGGCCTCCTTAATTTCTGGATGTGTCATCTTGCCAGAGTCATCGGAGAAGTAACACCAGCCACATGCTGCAGGCCGGGACCTCTGTGTGATGAGTACATTCTGGTCCCAAGGTAACGACACTGGAATTCTCTTCTCAAAATCATTTATTCTTATACTAGGTCCTCGATTTACTGCTGAAAATAATCTGTGAATAAATATGTAAACCCCATATTATTTCCTCTACTTCAATGATATCATTCCTATACTGTATATATATTTTTGTAATTTTTTAATATACTGTATTTCTTTCCAGCTTTCTAATATAGAGTTAATATTAAATACAGTGGTACCTCCACATAATAATTTAATCTGTTCCCAGAGATGGGTCGTAACTCGAAAATTCGTAACTCAAAACAAATTTTCCCATACGAAATAATGTAAATTGAATTAATCTGTTCCACACCCCCAAAAATATTAACTTAAAAATACATTTTATACCAACTACCATTCTTTTTGTGCTAGCTACAATACAGAATGTATATCTTACCTTTATTGAGGACTCTTGTTGGTGCATGTAAGATGGTGAGGAGGGGGAAGGAGGAGAGGTGTTATTGTTTGGAAGGGTCCCCTTCCATTATAACATCAGGCAGTGATGACTTCTCTAAGGGTACACTCTCTCCTACGTTCTGCAGGCATACCACTAGGATCTGGTTGTGGTTCACTGCTTGTTTCTCCCACCAAGAACCTTTCCATAGACTTATTTTTTCCCTGTTTTAACATTTGTTTGTAATGAGACATCACATTCATTCCACTATGAATGATCTCTTGTTTTTCCTCTGGTCATGGTCATCCTCACATGTGTTTTCTTAGATTGAACCTTACCACTGACTTTCTTGGGACCGATTTTTGCATGATATATAATAGTTACTTTTATGTTCAAAAAACCAGCGTTGAATGTAATGAAACGCCATTTTCTGGGTGAGACCTGGAGGCTTCCCAGAGCTATACTGGGCTGATGTGTATATATTAGACCATGGGAACAGTCAATCGAAGGAGTTCTAAACCTACCGGGGACCAGAGCCAGAACTTGGCCCCCCTCAAGAGAGGCACGAGAAGCAATGGCCAAAAGACACCCCTGTGTAATTGGAAGCAGTCTTTGTCTGCCATCTACCAGGGCAGGCACCCAGAAAGGTAGAAATTTCAAACCAAACTACTGTTGGCCAAAAATTGCAAACCAAAAGCCGAAATAGCGAACAGAACTCCCCAATCAAAAACCGGGAACAAACATGACACCACAACCGCCGCGCATCCATCTGCGCAATCCCCCCCCCCCTCCCTGGGAGGGGAACGGGCGGGTCCCAGACCTCCACGCCAGCAACTCCCCCCAGTTCAGAGGCTGATTATCAAAACGCGAAAAACCGCCGACCGGAGGGAGGGAGGGAGGGATGCCGGGGAGCCTCCGGGACTCACCCAAAAAATGGCATTTCATTACATTCAACGCTGGTTTTCTGTGGAGAGCCCCTTCGGCTCCCCGGAGCTACTTAACCAAAGATAAGGAAAAGGGGACTCACCTGGGAGGCAGTTGTCACTCGCTCCTCAACTCAAAGTCGAGACAACAGGTCGCAACCTGCGACCCAAGACTACACATGCCCGAGAAGAACATTAACAAAATAACGTGCAGCCAGGACCCTGATCAACCTCCAAAATCCCCGTGCCCGAAGATAGGCCAGGACATATTACCAAAACAGCAGCCGAATGCCGAACTTACAAAAGGCTGCAGGCTGGCAGGATCGAATAATCCTGCGGACAACCTGGGAGAAGGCAAACAGGGTCAACCCAAAGCGCGTCCTCTGCCACAGAGGCCATGGCATGCAAATAACAGCAAAGAGCCACAGACACAAAACATGATGCACTCCCGGCCGAACCAACCAAGCATCTACAACCCAAGGACCTCCTCGGAAAGCAGCAGACTCATTCTTCGCCAGAAAGGAGAAGGCTGCAAACGAACGAAACGGCCACCAGGACCGAAAGAGCAGAAACCCCTGCGCTGGAGGAGAGCATGAAGCTCCTCGATCCGACCCCCAGAGGCCAAAGCCAACAAGAAAGGAGCCTTAGAAAACAGTCCTGAACCGAGGGGCCACCACAAACCGAGGAGAAGAGAGAAAAAGAGAGCACCCAGTCCAACGACCAGGACGGCTCAGGCGGCGCATGAGCAGGCCGGAGGTGAAACAACTCCCGAGAAAGCTTGCGGAACGGAGCAAAAGTGACATCCACCCCGAATGCAAGCTGCAGCAGCTCCGCCAGCGCCGCACGATACGAGGTGACAGTATTTGGCATAAGATGACGGTCCTGAAACAACCAAGAGAGAAAGCACATGCAATGTGTTGTTTAAACGACCGTCCAAACAACCCGATCAGAAATCGAAGACAACCTACGAAGAGACAAAAATGCCGAAAGGATCGCCAGGAAATTTCATACTGCCGTCTAGACGAAACTCGCAGGTGATACACCATCAACGAAGCCACCTGATCACCATACAAGTGGTGATACACCCGCGTCAAAAAGATCAGACGCGAAGAGTGGAGGAGAAGATCGAACCAGGAGAAGATCACTAGCCTGGCCACCAAGGAGCCAACAGGAATACTCTCTCCTGGTAAGTCTCCATGACCCAGTTGATGACCCAGACAGCTTCTTTATGAGTGACATTCAAGCTGCAGATAATATAACGGATATTAACACAAACTCGGAAGACTTTGAAAGAGAAATTGACAATATGCCTATGCACTCAGCTCCTGGGCCTGACTCATGGAATTCAATATTCATAAAGAAATGTAAAGTACCAGTAGCGCGAGCACGCAGCGTAATATGGAGAAAGAGCTTAGATACAAGGGAGATACCAGCAGCACTTAAATCTGCAGATATAGCTCCTTTGCACAAGGGGGGGGGGGGAAGTAAAGCCTTGGCAAAAAATTATAGACCAGTTGCACTAACATCACACATAATAAAAGTGTTTGAAAGAGTGATTAGGAATCAAATTTCTATTTTATGGAAAATAATGAGTTGCACAACCCAGGACAACATGGATTTAGAGCGGGAAGATCCTGTCTGTCACAGTTACTCAACCACTATGACAAAATCACAGAAGCCCTAGAAGAAAAGCAAAATGCAGATGTTGTATACACAGACTTTGCAAAGGCATTCGACAAATGTGACCATGGGGTGATTGCACACAACGTGAGGTCAATGGGAATAACTGGTAAAGTAGGACGCTGAATACTCAATTTCCTGTCGAACAGAACACAAAGAGTAACAGTCAATTAAATAAAATTGAGTCCAAGCGATGTTAAAAGCTCTGTACCTCAAGGTACAGTCCTTGCACCGCTACTGTTCCTTATTCTCTTATCAGATATAGACAAAAATACACGTCACAGCTTCGTGTCGTCCTTTGCAGATGACACAAAAATCAGTCCAGTTTTCTCTTGAAGATGTCCACGGTTGTTCCGGCAGTATTTCTTATAGTCGCTGGGAGGACGTTGAACAACCGCGGATCTCTGATGTTTATACAGTTCTCTCTGATTGTGCCTATGGCACCTCTGCTCTTCACCGGTTCAATCTTGCATTTTCTTCCATATCGTTCACTGCAGTACGTTGTTATTTTACTGTGTAGATTTGGGACCTGGCCCTCCAGTATTTTCCATGTGTATATTATTTGGTATCTCTCTCGTCTCCTTTCTAGAGAGTACATTTGGAGAGCTTTGAGACGATCCCAATAATTTAGGTGTTTTATCTCGTCTATGCGTGCCGTATATGTTCTCTGAATTCCCTCTATTTCAGCAATCTCTCCTGCTCTGAAGGGGGAAGTGAGTACTGAGCAGTACTCGAGACGGGACAACACAAGTGACTTGAAGAGTACAACTATTGTGATGGGATCCCTGGATCTGAAAGTTCTCGTAATCCATCCTATCATTTTTCTGGCTGATGCAATATTTGCTTGGTTATGCTCCCTAAACGTTAGATCATCAGACATCATTATTCCAAATCCTTTACATGCAGTTTTCTTACTATGGGCACATTTGATTGTGTTTTGTACCCTGTATTATGTTTGTGAGAGGCACGATCTTCCCGCTCGAAATCCATGTTGGCCTGGGTTGTGAAGGTCATTGGTCTCCATGAAATTGGTGACCTGACTCCTAATCACTCTCTCAAATACTTTTATTATGTGCGACGTTAGTGCAACTGGTTTATAATTCTTTGCCAATGCTTTGCTCCCTCCCTTGTGTAGAGGGGCTATGTCTGCTACTTTAAGTGCATCTAGTATCTTCCCTGTGTCCAAGCTCTTCCTCCACACTATTCTGAGTGCCTGTGCTACCAGCACTTTGCATTTCTTTATAAATATTGAATTCCATGAATCTGGACCCAGGGCCGAGTGCATTGGCATGTTTTCAATTTCTCTTTCAAAGTCTAGTACGCTCGTGTTGATATCAGTTATATTTACAGGGGTTTGGATATCCCGCATAAAAAAATTGTCTGGATCTTCCACTTTCATGTTGTTTATTGGGGTGCTAAACTTGTCCTCATACTGCTTTTTTAGGATTTCACTAATTTCTTTGTCATCCTCCATGTATGAACCTTCACTTGTACGAAGAGGTCCAATATTGGCAGTGGTTTTTGCTTTTGATTTTGCACATGTGAAGAAGTATTTTGGATTTTTCTTTATTTCCTGAATTGCTTTCTGTTCTAACTTCCTTTCTTCAGTTCGATATGAGTGTTTCAATTTCCACTCGATTTCTTCAATCTCCTTATTTAAATTATTCCTTCTTTAACGGGAAATTCGCGTCTGCATAAGCATTTCCGTTATTTTTTCCTTCTTTTATAGTGTCATCTGCACTCTCTTTCTACGTTGGATCTCTTTCTGGCTTTCCTCAAAGGAACATGTTTCAGACTTGATACGCTTCCGAAGTCAGTTTTTCAATTCCTTCTGTAGGACTTGTATTACTTAGAACAGTTTCCAATGGAATGTTTGTAAGTTCCCTGTTTATTATCTCCCAGTCTATCCTTTAATTATTAAAATTGAATTTACTGAATAGCCCCTCTAGCTTTATCAACGTTTTAGGTCTATTCTGAGTATTGATGGTCGTTTGCACTTCAATGAGCTTGTGATCTGAGTATGTGGTATCTGATATCGTAATGTCCCTGATAATGTCTTCATTGTCAGATCTAGAATATTTTCATTTCTCGTCGGCTCCGATATCTGCTGGTTGAGTGAAAATTTGTCACAGAATCCAAGTAGTTCTCTAATCTGTGGTAGGTTAGGTCCCGATAGATTTCCTGGTATAATATTATTGTTTGCTTTTCTCCATCTGAGACTAGGCAAGTTGAAGTCACCTAGGAAGATAATATTAGGTATCGGGTTCTCCAAATTATCAAGGCTATTCTCTAGTTTGTTTATCTGTTCTGTGAATTCCTCGGCCGTTGCATCTGGCGGTTTGTATATTAGAATAATCACCAAGTTTATTTTCTCTATTTTTAATACCAGTACCTCTACCACCTCATTTGTAACGTTAAGGAGCTCCGAGCATACAAGGTCTTCCCTAATATACAGACCCACTCCTCCATGTGACCTAATTTTCCTATCACACCTGTATAGGTTATATCCTGGAATCCAGATGTAACTGTCTAAAAATTCCCCTGCATGGGTTTCTGTAAAAGCTCCAAATACTGCATTTGACTCCGTGAGGAGGCCTTTTATGAACTGTACATTGTTGTTTGTTCTTGTTTTTAGTCCTTGTATGTTGGCAAAGATGAATGAGGTTACTCTATTAGTGATAGTTTGACTGGGAGACTTTTTCGGCAAGCCCATTATGCATGGACATATTGAGTTTGTTCTGACCAGTGCCGATTGTTGTAGGGCAGCTGCCTGTCGTAGTTGTAGTTCCCTTTCAGTGTGTAATTGTATCTGTAATTCTGGAATGCAAGTGGGTCTGGCATCCAGTTCCATACACTCTCCATGCTCCTCCTTTTGAATTGTCTTTCGGTTTGGTATAAAAAATGTATCGAGTTTCCTCCAAATTCATTATCCTGCTTGCCACTCTATGTAGCATTCTGTGGCTTTCATGTGATAGTATGGGCAGCTGAGGTCATAGCATTTTCTGTCCTCAAGTGAGGTTTGGCACATGTCAGGATGGAAAACCTACATATTGATCCAAATCGACATTGACCTTTCCTAAGTATATTTAAAAAAATTTTGGGATGTTGGTAACTGCATTCTAATCCTTTCTTATTACCAGCATATCTATGTCTGTATATGCCCTTTGCATAAAATTTGCACAAGTCTGTCCTTCTGGTCTGACTCGCTCTATCGGGGACCATTATAGTGTCTGTACCTATCGAGCTGTCAGTGCTGTCTGTTACACTTTCTAGTTTACTGTCATCTACATCTAGGCATACTGAGTCAGAGTTTACAACTTCCCAAGTTTCTGCTTCATTTTCATCCCTGACTATAGCCTCCGCCCCTGGTATATTAGAATTATTGTTGTTTCTTTCCCACTCTTTCTGAATGGCTGGTAGGCTTTCAATGAACGATGTTTTCCGTTCATGCGTCTTGTTATCGAGAAGTTTTTTTAGGATATTCCAAGCTGGCAGGTCATTTTTACACACCCAGAGCAAGTGGCCAGCTCTCAGTCCCGTGGTGTTACTGACTCCTGTACAAGCCGAATGAAATCTATTCTTACAGATATAACATTTAATTCCCGTTGCCTTCGACTTTAAGGAGTTGTTACAGTGGCCACAAATTTGTTTATTTACTCCCAATTTGCCTTGTTTTGATTTTTGTATGTTAATATTTTGGAGGGTGGGGAATGGATTAATTCAAATTCCTTTATTTCTTATGGGAAAAATCACTTCGACTTACGATATTTCGACTTACGATCCGTCTTTGGGAACGGATTAGCATTGTAAGTCGAGGCCCCATTGTATGTACACATCAGCCCGGTATAGCTCTGGGGAGCCGAAAGAGCTCTCCACAGAAAACAAAACAAAAAAGCACAAAAACAATGAAATTCTTTACAAGTGGGATCGTCACTTAGCGGGCGGCTCTAGTAAACTAAGGCGGGGTCGCCTGTGCCACCAGAAACCACGTGCTCAGTCGACCCATATGTGTATCAACAAAGTTGCAAGTCGAGGCCAAGGCTGTAAGTTGAGTCAAATTTTCCAATGAAATTTAGGTCAAAACTAAAAAAAAATCACAAGTGGGGCATTCGTAAGTCGAGGTTTATCTGTATTGTTAAATGCTCTGCAAACCAAGGGTCTCAAAATGTGGAATGACCTCCCTAATCCCATCAAAGACTGTCAATCTCTCAAACAAGAAAGCAAGAACTACCTAACAAAGTGTACAACCTACTAAATGTAACTGTGCAATTTAAAATTTTAATTTTAAAATTTAAAATTGTAAAATTCAATAAAAAAATTTACTTATTCTGTTTATGCTGTAAAATTAATATATTCTTTTGCAATTTTTGCTGTTCCAATCATCTAATAATTGTCATTTTAATTCTATGTCTCTATTTTAATTAATTACTGTTCTTCTTATTTCATTTTTTATTTCTTATTTCTTACTTTTTCTCAAATACTCACCTATTTGTGTTTGCAGGGGTTGAGCTCTGGCTCTTTGGTCCCACCAAAGAGCCAAAGATCATGCTATGACCATTTTGGTCATAGCATATGACCAAAATGCTATGGCTTTAGGCATTGTACTTTGCCTACCCTTCACTCATACAACTTTCTTGATCCCCAACATAATGAATCAATAAATTATGTTGTTCAGGACAATTCTGGTTTCTTTACCCCATTGAAACAGCTATACTCGCCATATACAGAGAGCAGCCATGAAGCTGTGTGCAACATATGGAGAGCGAAGAGGGGAGGTGAGGGAACCATAATTGTGATATTGTGAGAGGTGAGCCATTATTATGAGAGGTGAGGAGGGGTGGCCATTATTGTGAGAGGTGAGGGGGGTGGCCATTATTGTGAGAGGTGAGGGGGGTGGCCATTATTGTGAGAGGTGAGGGGGGTGCGCATTATTGTGAGAGGTGAGGGGGGTGGCCATTATTGTGAGAGGTGAGGGGGGTGGCCATTATTGTGAGAGGTGAGGGGGGTGGCCATTATTGTGAGAGGTGAGGGGGTTGGCCATTATTGTGAGAGGTGAGGGGGGTGGCCATTATTGTGAGAGGTGAGGGGGGTGGCCATTATTGTGAGAGGTGAGGGGGGTGGCCATTATTGTGAGAGGTGAGGGGGGTGGCCATTATTGTGAGAGGTGAGGGGGGTGGCCATTATTGTGAGAGGTGAGGGGGTGGCCATTATTGTGAGAGGTGAGGGGGGTGGCCATTATTGTGAGAGGTGAGGGGGGTGGCCATTATTGTAAGAGGTGAGGGTGCCATTATTGTGAGAGGCGAGGGTGCCATTATTGTGAGAGGCGAGGGTGCCATTATTGTAAGATTCGAGGGTGCCATTATTGTAAGAGGCGAGGGGTGCCATTATTGTAAGAGGCGAGGGTGCCATTATTGTGAGAGGCGAGGGTGCCATTATTGTAAGAGGCGAGGGGTGCCATTATTGTAAGAGGCGAGGGGTGCCATTATTGTAAGAGGCGAGGGTGCCATTATTGTGAGAGGCGAGGGTGCCATTATTGTAAGAGGCGAGGGGTGCCATTATTGTGAGAGGCGAGGGTGCCATTATTGTGAGAGGCGAGGGGTGCCATTATTGTGAGAGGCGAGGGTGCCATTATTGTGAGAGGCGAGGGTGCCATTATTGTGAGAGGCGAGGGGTGCCATTATTGTGAGAGGCGAGGGGTGCCATTATTGTGAGAGGCGAGGGGTGCCATTATTGTAAGAGGCGAGGGTGCCATTATTGTGAGAGGCGAGGGTGCCATTATTGTGAGAGGCGAGGGGTGCCATTATTGTGAGAGGCGAGGGTGCCATTATTGTGAGAGGCGAGGGGTGCCATTATTGTGAGAGGCGAGGGGTGCCATTATTGTGAGAGGCGAGGGGTGCCATTATTGTGAGAGGCGAGGGTGCCATTATTGTGAGAGGCGAGGGGTGCCATTATTGTGAGAGGCGAGGGGTGCCATTATTGTGAGAGGCGAGGGGTGCCATTATTGTGAGAGGCGAGGGATGCCATTATTGTGAGAGGCGAGGGGTGCCATTATTGTGAGAGGCGAGGGTGCCATTATTGTGAGAGGCGAGGGGTGCCATTATTGTGAGAGGCGAGGGGTGCCATTATTGTGAGAGGCGAGGGGTGCCATTATTGTGAGAGGCGAGGGGTGCCATTATTGTGAGAGGCGAGGGGTGCCATTATTGTGAGAGGCGAGGGGTGCCATTATTGTGAGAGGCGAGGGGTGCCACCACCTGTAATGGTCTCTTGGTAACATGCCACAATATCTGGCCCAAGCTCACCACAACCAACCTCCTTATTGAAGCAGCGGCGGGTGGGTTGTGGGCGAGGCGAGACCTGAGGAGCAGGAGGGTGACGGTGGGGTGGTATGGGCCCAACATAGTACAACGAAGCAACAAATGTGTACTGATAACCGGTGTCCACTTAACGGGGTCAACAACATTGTGCGTTCGATTACCAATGTTTTTTTTTATTATTGTGTAATGACGCGAAAATGATAATAAAATAGTTATGAAGTGTTGCTGTGTATAATAATAATAACTATATATATATATATATATATATATATATATATGTATATTCTTTAATTTGAACTTTCTTAATGAAATATGTTTTTTTCACAGCAGTTGCAAGAAGCGTTGTCGGAAGATTCGTTGCCTTTAGGAGATTCAAATACTACATATGCAATTTTATATGATGCTCTTGTTTGGAATTTAAAGCCTTAGGCTTGAATAATATGAATATACAGAGCACTTATATATTTGTAAATTTGTTGGTAATCGCTATATCGGAAAATCATATTTATCAATATCACATGATAGTTTATATGATAACTTAGATACTAAAAATTCGTAAATAAGGTTAAACTTGTATGTATATATCCCTGAATGTTTAGAATACCTAAACAAATATATACAAATATTTGCGTACTTGCTTATGCACATATATATTTATATATAGAGAATCATTCACATGTACAAATTACCACATAGAGTCTGGAATAAACGAAAAGTTGTAATTTGAAAGTAATGAGTGTTAAGAAAGAGAGTGGAAAAGTGTAGGAAAATCTATAAAATAGTGGTTAGGAGACATGAGGCGAGTATAGACGCCTGGACCCGGCCGGCCGCGCGCCCCGACACCACTCCGCTGCTCCTGTGTTTACTATTCACCCACCAAGTTGTGATCTCCGTGAATTAAGCCCGCTGCGGCCTGTGAAATCTCCCGGATAAAGCACCTGCGCCCCCATTCATAGACTGTAAATATATTCTAGATGGTGAGTTGAGTGCTTGTGGCGAGAAAAGGGAAGAATTAGTGTGGCGGGAGAGTGGAGAGCGAGAAGGAACACGGATTACTCTCGAGAGGCGATGCCCCAAATCCCACGTTTTGCCTGTTTCTGCAGCATGCTTTGCGCGGGATGTGTTGGTGCTGGTCCTCCACACTGCCCTCTCTCACCAGGCTCTTCCTGGCAGTCTTAAGATCTTATAAAACGATGTCTTACTCCTTGAGGTAGAGCTAATGTACAGAGCGAGTGTGTTACATACTGTACATAGGACAAGCACGAGACATACTGTACTGGAAATGCCTGGAATGTTATTGGTGTATATGCCATAGTTTTTTACGTGTAGACAGTTTAGGCTAATTATATTCTTTTAAAGCTTTCCTGTCTATATAAGTTTGAATATTAAGGACCTACTCCACACTATATCAAGAATAGTATCTCTAACCTGGTTGTTGAATGATTTGACAGGTCGTATGCCAGGGGAAAATTAAGATTAAGAACCTGCCTGAAAAGCTATGCATGCTAGTGGCTTTACAAGAATGTACGAACTCTTGTGTGTATATTATATATATATATTATATATAATAAACATAAAAAGCTGTGTTCCAACTGGTGTTGCATTCTGAGACTCCTGGTGTGAGATTATCCCAAGGTATTCCCAGATATATTTGTCATTTTAAATTTTTTCTGCATCAGATTGATGATTTAAGTTTTGTTCTGCCACTGTAATACACTGCTAAGGAGGGCCAGTCTTGGACTATGGTTGATGTCCTTTTAGTTAACCAGTTTTACTGATTCGTCCCATTCTCCCGAGCATTGCCAGTCACTAAACTGGCAATTTAGTACATTTTAAAGCAATTTAGTACAACAGTCACTAAACTGTTGTACTAAATTGCTTGAACCTAACCTACCTGAGGACCCACAAACAAACAAAAAAATGGAATGTGTCAATTTTGTGAGCTGCTGCCATTTTCAGTGCATCAGGCTGTAAGGAAATTGAACATCAAAATGTGATGTACAATTCAGGAGAACGGGTTGACTGATTAACAAAATGGATCAGTTACTTTATTTTGTTTGTTATTAATTTACCATTATTCTTTGCTACTGGATTGAAACCCCTCCTTACCCTCAAAAGCATTGTATGTATATTTTGTGCAAGTGCCAGTAGCTGCTTCGTAAATTTGATTATGTGCAGAAATATGTTATGAGGACTGGTGACCACTTTACAATGACTCCTCTTATTAGCAAAATGGTTCTTGAATTTGTGCGTGCGTTAGGTAAGACTAGGTTATGTTTAGTTATATGTAGGCTAGGTACAAGGAAAATTCATTTCCCCTGATCATTTACAGTGAGAAACCAGTTACAAAAGGGGCAATGACCTGAAACCCATACACTCATCAATATAATGTTTGAATTGATCCAAATGAAAATGTAGAACAGCTGCCAAATACTTTGATGTGTTTTGTTGAATTGTCAAGCTATTTTCATTTTAATTCTGTTAAGATCTCGAAACGCTATCACGTCTTGCAGTAAGACTGTGTGTTGTCTATGTATAGGTCAGTGGTAGTTGGCTTAATTTCAAAATGTTTAATTTTATTGTGCCAGTTGATTAAATAAGGAAAGTTTATATATAATGATCAAACAGAAAATAAAGAATATATATTTTATTAAGAAACTACTACTGTACTGGTATCAATATGATTAGTTTGAAAGTTTAATAAGTTTAATAGAAACTAAATATGTAAAGTTTAAGGTAATATTGCCAAATTAGTTATTTCAGGCCAACATGAGTCATTATTTCATAAATACAGTACAATAGTAACTGGGCTCTCAAAAACTAACAATACAAAAATTTTGCTATGACTTTTGTAATACTGCAGGAAGTTTCCATGAATGAAAGTGAGGCAAGGAGGCTCTCATTTACTGTTGCACTGACATCACTCTTCTTGCCACCAAGCCAAGCCGGAGCCGGTCGGCTGAGCGGACAGCACGCAGGACTTGTGATCCTGTGGTCCCGGGTTCGATCCCGGGCGCCGGCGAGAAACAATGGGCAGTTTCTTACACCCTATGCCCCTGTTACCTAACAGTAAACTAGGTACCTGGGTGTTAGTCAGCCGTCACGGGCTGCTTCCTAGGGGTAGGGGCCTGGTCGAGGACCAGGCTACAGGGACACTAAAGCCCTGAAATCCTCTCAAGATAACCTCAAGAAGCCATAGGCTCGTCATGCAAATTTACCTCAATCGTGACAGCCTACTTTACATTTATTATGATGTTCATGAGCTTCAGCTCCAAGCACAGTATATGTCACAACGAGCTTTGTAGCTCGTGAATATTGTAATAAATGCTAACTAATCTCCCATGATGATTGCAGTCTCCATGACGTAGTGGTAAGACGCTCGCCTGGTGTTCCGCAAGCACTTTGTCTTGGGTTCATATCCTGGCTGGGGAGGATTTACTGGGTGCAAATCCATAACTGTAGCCTCTGTTTAACTCAATAGTAAAATGGGTTCTTAGTTGTAAAAATTATTTTTCGCGGGGGTCGTATTCCAGGGAACATAGGATTAAGGACTTGCCCGAAACACTACGCGTACTAGTGGCTGTACAAGAATGTAAGAACTCTTGTATATATACATATATACAAAAAAATGAAGGCAAGAGGGAGAGATCAAAGAGTGCATGTTGAATCCTTGCACGGTTTTATTGCTTTGGTTGGTATAATATAAATCATTTCATTAAACATGATCTGTACTCATAACTTCTGAATAAGTATGTTAGAAATATGTTGCATTCATAGACATTCGTTAAGATGTAAATGTTACTGGAGCATCTATTAGCAAATGTTTGAGTATACTGTATTACATAAGTTAAATAAAGTTTAGATCATGAAATGCATAATGACAAGAGTAAAGCCGGCTTTGCTTGTATTTATTATTCATTGTTAAGTATAATCCCAGATAAATAATAAAGATATGTTTTCTTGTCCCGAGTTAGTGCATTAAAGTTATTATGTAGATCCACGAGATAAGAGTTCTTACTGGGCTTAGTCACTATGTCAACTACAGTATATGCAGATCGACCTTGGCACTTGAATTGTGTGTAGACGTATCTGGGGTTCACTATAGAAATGAAGGAAAAAACATGATTTTGCACCAAAGATATTCAGTTAGTTTTATTACCAAGGACTTGGTAATATATATACAAATTTAGGTTTCTGTAAATCATTCTCACCACAGTAGCCTAATCAACTAAATTTAGTGGAGTATTGTGGACAACAGGCAGACACTGGCAAACAATCAGGCTAAGGTGACTAAAGAACATAAAACACATTTTCCAATTTGCATACTCAAAAGATTAGTTATGTGTACCTATGCTCTAAACCATAACAAAATTCACTACAGAATATAACAACTATGCTCACTAAAATGTTTATTTTTTGGTCAAAATTGAAAAAAATCGCTGTCAAAGTGTAGCCGAGGACTACATGAACCAAGTTGTAACAGTTGGTGTAATAAGAAGTTGGAAGATAATGCAGCTGCAGTTGCACACTGTGAAGTGTCAAACACACAAGCGAACATTCTCAAGTTCAGCGGACACAATTGACAATACTACAAATTGTCTGCACTTGGGAAGGTGGTGCCTCTAGCAGATATTAAGGTACCTATTATTGCTTGTGTTGCAGGGTAGATAGGCTAGATATTTCCTAAGATACCATGCATGTTTGCAGCTATTCTGCTTGTGTTTTTAGTTGCATTATTCCTAATGGATGAGGTTCATTTTTTATGTACTTGCAGTGACTTAAACAAAATTCTTTGTTTCCAGTAGTGATAAAGTATTTAAAATACACTATATATGCTGGTTTGCAAATATGTGAATGCAACACTGTTGATCATAACTCTGGATTTGTTTAAAAACAATTTTATTAGAATTGAACAAAGTTCAAATGTTAGATTAAGCAAAATTTAATAGTCATGGTGAGCAGATGTTAGCAATGAAGCGAAATGAGTTAAGGTGTGATTGGTCGCATAGATGTGATCTGTTTAATGCAAACATTTTATTATTACAAAGCCTCTAGATGCAATAATTGCAGATAATGTGGCTTCATCTGTGTATTATACTTGGTAAATATTAAACTTTACAAAACACATTGAATACTTTGCATATTACTGTACAGTATTTCTATTATATTTTCATCATTTAGTGGTTCTCATATTTTTGCTAAAATATCTAATTTGCAATTATGTCGATATTTCTCTATCGTACATGTGGATACATTGAAAATAAAACTGCATCCTCTGTGTAACTTATAAATATTGTTATATTGTGTGTTGATGTATAGTTATTAATTGGTCACCTTATGTGAATAGAGGATCAGGCTTACACAGGCTTGATATGATAACCAATCCACACACCAGAAGATGGAGACGACGACATCTCGATCCATCTTGGACCATTATCAAAATCAACTTGATTCGGTCCAAGACGGACCGAATCATCATTATGTGCTCGTCTTCTGGTGTGTGGTTTGTCATCATATCTTCAGCCACGTTATTGTGACTCATCGTCTGCCCAGGCCTGATAGTACATATGTTTATTAATGTCTTGTAACAGGTGGGACTGCACAGCGTGTGATGCCTGCATCATCAGCTGAGGTGATAGGGGTGGCGCTGCAGTCTGCATACCGAGATACACCGGTGGACACAGCCCCCTCTTCCTTATACAAGAAGAACCATTTAGAGGAGCAGCTTGTGGCATCTAGTAAACAGGTAACAGGATGTTGGTAATGATGTATGCATGCTGAGAGTTGAAGGAGATTGCAGATGTTAGTACACAAGACAGTTGTGCTGATGCTATACCGGTATTAATGTTAGGCTAAATATTGGTGATTTTTTCCTGTTTTGAGTTCCTTATAGTATGGTCATCATATTGCATTATTATTATTACCAGATTAAGTTTGGACTGGGAACACTTGGAAGGTTAAGAAAGGCCATTGTAGGTCTGTTCCTTCTTATAATGACTTCCAAAAATGGAGGAATTCTGTTAACATTTTGTCACTGTTGTTCACATATCAAAAACACAGTGTATGGATGTTTCAATCGTGACATAACTTAACAAAGATTGCAACACCAGCATTTATTACCCAGTAATCTAGTTTAAGCTAAACTACTAATTCCAAGTCCAAAGGTACTTATAAGTCCTTCTAACATGGCCATTTTCTATAAATGCAGTGAGAGAAAATTTAAATGGTCAATTTCCAATTGTCAATAAAGATCTTTAAAAAAATTCATGTCTTTCGAATTCTGTATAAAGCAGATACGTAGGCATTATTATATGCAAAAGATTATAAAAGAAACCAAAAAATATATTTTGACATTAAATATTTGAAGATACTATACCCACAAAAATGGATAGGTAAATCGCATGGCCAAGGGCAAACTGTGCCAGATGCCAGTTTGTTTTAATGATTACATATAAGTGCAAATATGGTTTGGTTATGTATACAATAAAGGAAAAAATAAACGAAGATTAGGATAGAATAGGTTGCAGACTTGGTGTGTAAAAAATATAGTGGACTATAGTAGTCCTATAAAACTATCGTAGACTATTGTTTTGGGGAAGGGAGGAAAGTGTATAGTGTTCTGGGGCAGGGTGTATAGTGTTTAGGGGAGGTTGTATAGTGATAGAGGGAGGGTGGTCATTGATAAAATTCTTAGATTAGAAGGGATCACTACAAAGATAATATTGATGAATATAGAAGAAAATGTAGATCAGAAAATGAGAAATGATCACCCATAATGGGTGACTAAATGAAGTGAAACAGATGGCAAACGTACTTGGAAATGGCAGAAAATTACAAAAAGATAAGGCTGAGAAACTTATCTTTAAGGAGAGACCTCTTAACCACTGTGCTGCTCGGGCTCCAAATATGGTACCTCCCCTGTGCGCAGGAAATAAATTCTTGGCAAAAAATTTATTTTGTTTTTTGAAAATGTTAATTACCCTTCCCTGATCACAGATGTCTAAAAAAATCAAAATCAAAATTGTACTTACTTTGGCTGCAATGGGGTCCAGAAAATAACGTGTGACGTCACAATTTGGTGGTCGCCCGTGATGTAGACTCCCGGAGGCAGTCGCCTGCTTCTGGGAGTCTAACATAGGGACAGTACAGATGTTCTACTGTACAAAGACACTTGTGTTATATGCGTCAAATGTGTCCACATATATTGCTCATATATCCAATGTTTCATGTTTATTTATGTATATTTACAACATATTTACACATTATACACTATCACATACTATATCCATTCACCATTAACCCTTAAACTGCGCATGGGGTATATATACGCTATATATGCTATGAGTAACGTGTCCCGAGTGCGCATGGCGTATATATGCCCCATAGGGTGCCAGGCACGATTCAAAAATCCCCCTCGGCTATACTTGGTTCACATAAGCTTCCTCGGGTCTTGTAAAAAGATGCCATGTTTAAATAAAATCGTGGGCAATATTCTCCGGTGTAAGAGCCACAGTACTGTGGGAGCAACCAAGGGTGGCGCACGCAGCATGAGCTAATAGCATTGCTGTTCAGCTTGTGATCACAGCATCGCCTAAAAATGTCAGAATAAATATGTAACTGCTATTATTTAGCGATGACAGTAATATATTACAGATGACCCCTGACTGTGATAAAAATGACCAGGATTGTGATAATAGCAGGATTATTGTGATAATTAGCACTGTGTGGGAGGAGTAATGCTGGGGGGGAGGGAGATAGCGTCGTTTACTGACTGTGTGGCCACCTGTTAGTGTCTGCATTCACCATACCAGCTCAGTGGTTCTCTATGGTGAACACAAATGTAGATACTTAAATATTGTGTGTGTAGTAGTGTAATAACAGCAAAAGCCGCCGCCAGCTGACTGTGTGTGTAGCGATGTCTCAGTGCCTGCACTAACTATTATCACCTTAGTTGTACGGTTGTGAACAAAACATGTAGATACTTGTATATATATAATGTGTGTATATATTGTAATAACATCAAAACTATGTTTATTGTTTTATGAATGTAATAATTGAATCACTAATATGAACACCATACTTTTAAGCATAGCGATGGTTCACACATTTTATTATATAAATCTATCACACTACACACTGTTGAATAATATTACTGCAAAAAACTAAGAAAACATCACTCAGAGACATTAAAATAATTAGGTAATAATATCTTTGTGGCAACTCCCAACTGACAGCTCATGTGACGCTGACCGGCTCTGACGACTGCTCTGTCAACGCCCACATTTTGCCAGTCTTCCTCGGCCTATTGCCCCCAAAATATGTCGCCTACTTTTTTTTCCCCCCGTGCTCGGGGAACACAAATTAACATCTTTAGAAGACGAAAAAAAAATTTATATTTTTTTTTTCTTGCGCACAAGATGTACAAGATGTTATACATGTAAATCTCCTCAGGCCCCCTTAGCAGCTTAAGGGTTAGCACACTCAGAACTCCGCGAGTGTGAGCTGCCACACCCAGCCAGCCCTCCCTCACTCCTCCAACACTTTACTCGCCAACATTCCTCCTCCCACTATGCTGTTATTGTTTTTATTACACTACACATGTTATGTATAAGTATCTGCATGTTTTATTCACCATAACTATACAACTGAGCTGGTATTGTGTCCAAACAGCACAGTGGTCACCATACACTGCATAATAAATCACAGCAGCCAGCAGACGATGCTATGAGTACGACGCCACCTCCCTCGCCAAAATGGCTCCTCTGAACATACTCCTGTTGCTATTATTACACTATATACACACATTGTATATACCCATGTACATGTGTTCACCATAGTGAACCACTAAGCTAGTAATGGTGAGCAAAACAAGAGTGGCTGCCACACACAGTGACGCTACCTCAATTCCCTCCCTCACCAAAATTCCTCCTCCCATAATACTTCGCACATCGCTAATTCTCACCACAATCCTGCTATTATCACAATCCTGGTCACTAAATCCAGTAAATGAATAATTGACCATAAGTTTATTTTGTAAAGGAACATAAGAAGTCGTTTGAAGATTACTAGATGGACGAAATATTGCTGTGGCTAGCGCTGTGAACATTGTGAACAACATTGATTCACTGTTTGAACATTGTACACAGTCATTATCACACTCAGGCTCTTCTGTAATACTATCATGGCTAAATAATACCAGTAACATATATATATTTTGACATTATTAGGCGATGCTGTGGTCACAAGCTGAACAGCAGTGCTGTGACCACATGCTGCATGCGGCAGCCTTGGTTGCTCACTCAGTACTGAGGCTCTCACACCTGGGAATGTTGCCCACAATTTAAAAAAAAAAAGTTGTCTTTTTACAAGAGCCCTGAGGAAGCTGATGTGAACCCCCATGTAGCCACGGGAGTTTGGAATCATACGCTATACCTATAAGATCCTGGAGGCACATTATGCCCCCCACCCCCCACCCCATCGAGCGCCTGCAGGCATGTTGTGCAGTTCAGTGGTTAAAGGAAAATGTAGAAAACTGGTAGGGAATCTTCATGAAGCAAAATTATTAAATGAGAATTATAATGAGAGAATATTTTACCTCATTAGCCAGTGAAGTGGAACATTAGGGACAACAGACAGACAGTAGCACTAGGAGAGGAAAAATGGAGGTACTGTAACAAGTACAGTACCTAAATATCCTGTATACAATACTGTATAAACAATATATTGGAGTCAAGATATAATACTACAGCTAAGATGATCTGATATCTTCGCCCTGGCAGAGACTAAACAGGAAGATTTTTTTTTTAAATAAGGTAATATTTCCAAGATTGATACCCAGTTTGGAAGATGCTTTAGGAAAAACAGACAAGGTAATTACCTAGGTGTAGTTACAGATGAGAGCTATGCTTGTGGTGTCCTGTTTCCTAGTGTTCCATCATATTATTGGCTCCTCGTTATTGGGATCGTCTCAAAGCTCTCCAAATGTACTAGAAAAAAGACGAGAGATATAAAATAATATGCACTGTACGTGGAAAATACTGGAGGGCCATGTCCCAAATCTGCACAGTAAAATAACAACATACTGGAGTGAACGATATGGAAGAAAATGCAGAATAGAACCAGTGAAGAACAGCGGTGCCATAGGCACAATCAGAGAACATTGTATAAACATCAGAGGTCCACGGTTGTTCAACATTCTCCCAGCGAGCATAAGACATATTGCCAGAACAACCATGGACGTCTTCAAGAGAAAACTAGATAGTTTTCTTCAAGGAGTGCCGGACCAATTGGGCTGTGGTGGGTATGTGGGCCTGTGGGCCGCTCCAGGCAACGACCTGGTAGACCAAACTCTCACAAGTCAAGCCTGGCCTCTGCCCGGGCTTGGGGAGTAGAAAAACTCTCAGAATCCCATCAAACAGGTATATAATGCTTTGAAACTACTGACAGTTTGGCCTCCACCACCTTCTCATTTGTTCTAATCATCTACCATTCTCTTTGCAAAAGAAAATTTTCTAATGTTTTTTCAGCAGCTTGATTTCCTTAGTTGGAACCTTTGTCCTCTTGTTCTTGAAGATGCAGTTTTCAAAAAATTGTCTTTGCCAGTTTTGTTGATTCGTGTTACTATTTTGTAAGTACAGTAGTGATCATATCACCTCTTTCTCTCTTATCTTGTAGCTTTGGTATATTTAATGCCGCTAACTTCTTTTCTTAGCACTTGGTTTTCAGTTACAAAAACTATTTAGTTGCATGTCTTTGCACCTTTTCTAGTTTAGTGATATGCTTTTTGAGATAAGGGCACCATACAAATGCTGCATATTCCAACTTTGGTCTCACAAAGGCCATGAATATGTTCAATATTTTATCATTAATGCATTTAAAAACTGTTCTAAAGTTGGAAAGTGCATCATATGCTCCTTGCACAGTGTTCTTTATGTTATCCTCAGGCGACAGTGTTTATATATACAGTATATATACACTGTAATATGAAAAAAAACACCATTCCTATATATAGGAAAAAACCATTCCTAGATCTCTTTATAATTCACAATTATATAGGTGAAGAAATCTTGATGGGACTTTATGGCAATTTGTGAGACCAAAATTGGAATATGTATCTGTAGTGTGGTGAACACTACATCATAAACACTACTTTCAAATTAGAATCAAGAATCACCGACATGAGACATTTTGAAACCAAGATTTTCTTGGTTTCAAGAACAAGGAGATAGATTCAAAATTAGGAAATAAAGATGCCAAAAAATATTAATTTCCCTTACGTGAACAGAGTTGTAGAGGATTAGAACAAGTGAGGAAGGACATGGCTGCCAAAACCATTAGTAGTTTCAAAGTGTCATTTGACAGAGGTTATTGGGAAAGCAGGACATCATGTGTGTAGCTCTCATCCTGTAATTACATTTAGGTAGTTATGCACAGGTGTGGGAAGACAGGACACCATGAGCGTAGCTCTTGTCCTGTAACTACACTTGGGTAATTTCATACATGCCAACCAACCCTACCTAACCCCAACCTCCCCACAAAAATTATTTTAATTGTTTATTTTACAAGTGTTTTCTCATTTCTATGACAGTGTTTTGCTTCTTAATTTTCTGCAATTACAAAATTTCATTATTTTCTAGTTTTGTTTACATTTAAAATCTATGTACAGGCTGTACTTACTTTAGTTTGATTGTTTCGTCATATGGTTCACAATGGCCCCTGTAAATGCCTAAGTTAAATTGAGGTGAAAATCATCTCTTATAGATCACAAATATAAGTCAACAGTTGCCAACTTCAGAAAAAAGGGAGGCCAATAGCAGTGAAGGTGAATTGTGCTGTTAATCATTGTGTATAGATAACCATTTGTCGTGTAGGTGCTGCTGAACCATGTTGAGTATGATCGTGTGGGCACCCAACAATCTCTGGTGCTAAGCTCTCTCAAGACCAAATATGTGAACCTGACAGCCAGCGACACCACCACTCCCACCTCTCCGTCAGGTAGCATGGCCCATGCACGCCACAAGCCATCCGCCGGAGCGAAAGAGGACCAGCTGGAGGAGCCTCGTGTAGTTTTGTGGCCCAGGGACAAGGTCACTTTGGGCTGGAGGAAGACCTTCTCCCCTGGGGCAGGAATGGTCAACTTGGGAAACACATGTTATATGAACTCTTCACTTCAGGTCAGTGTTTTACCTATGTAGGGTTGTGATAGTTGTATGGAAGTGTAATTGCCGAGAATTAATCGGAAACTGTGCATTTAATTTGGGCTGCAAAACAGTCTATTTGCTGCCAATAATCATGATCTACTGTATTTTGTAATGGCCTTGTCATAGAATTTACACCATTTTCTTATTGCTGCATTTTCCAGTGATTTGGATACTAATCACTGGTGTATTGGGGGAATGCATAGTTTCTCTGAGCAGTGCTTGAGATGTCGCATCTCTCGTGACTTTAATGCAAAATGTCTTGTTGATTTGTATGATTCCCTCTAGAATAGTGGGAGGCTTCAGTTGTTCTGTTAATGATTCTTGTGCATTGTGGAGCACAAAGTATTGCCATTATGGCTTCATTCTATATTATAGTTTGTTCAAATTATGCTTCATTCAATAAAGCATAACAAATGTTAGGATAGTAGAAAACAATGTCAAACTGCTTACCTGCAGTCAAAAATGGATCCCTTGAATGTCATTTATTCTCTTCTCTGTCAGACTGTAAACTTAGTTACTGGTTGGCCTCTGAGCAGCACTTAAAACATCAAAGGCAGTGTAATTTTAATGGATATCATCTCTGAGCTATAAGACTTTCTTTTGCATTGAAAAGAGGAATTTAATATGCTATGTTATTTTTTACAATGCTTTCTAAATTAAAATTGATTATTCATTTTTATTTTTTCCTAGGCACTCTTCCACATCCCATCTATGGCTAATTGGCTTATGGATGACCTCTCGACCCACACTCAGCGATGTGAAAGTATCTCTGGAAATGCTTCCTTCTGTTCGGTTTGTGCAATGATGAGGACTTTTCGCTCCACGCTAGACCGATCTAATACAGTCATCAAGCCGTCACTCATACAACACAAGTTAAAAAGTTAGTTATTTTATTGACTTTTCTTTTATCTAGCTGTTAGTATTAACCAGTTTATATACTCTCTAAGTGTAAGTTTTTAATATTTATTTCCAAGATGTTTGTGTAATTCCACTTAGGTATCATACAATATTGTGTTAACTTCGTGACACATTCATCCCTTTGGGATTATTATTATTATGGTTCTGCTCATTATTTTGCTGCAGATCTAAGGGTTGTAATGTGACAATGTAAGACTCATTGTTTTATTGTAACTTCTCATATATTTCTCTTTCTTCAAAGAAAATTTTTTTCGGATAATAGAATGCAAATCATTGGTATTTTGTAGAGTACAGCACTAGGAGAGTTTGTCACATAATAAATGTGTGTGGTTTTGCCTTAAAGGTCAGGGCTAGCTAAAGCGGAAAGGTCAAATGTCTGACTTTGTAGGTCTTCATTTATCTGCTAAAGAGAAGAATGAGTCTTGCATCCCTACAAAGCTCTCCATTGTGTACTTGTGGTAAGTGGTCATTTTCTTGCCTTGCATTCTCTCTTTTTTTTCTTCCTGCCATTTCATCTCCCTCTCTATCCCTCTTGTCTTTTAATTTCCTTATTTTTCTCTTCGTGGTTAACATTAAAATCATTAGGAACGCTTTACTTCTTTTGTGCCTGCATACACACTTAAATAAAGTACTGTTTCAACTGTCTTTCCTAGCCTCATAATGTTGGAACAGTTATGTGCAATACTAATATATAAATCTTTACAGGCATAGGTAAAACCCTTATGTATGGAAGGCAAGAAGATGCCCACGAATTCATCAAGCTGCTTTTGGATCACATGGAAAAATCATACCTCACGTTCAGGAAAGCAATGAAGCTCGATCATCGTTCCAAGGAAACCACACCTCTGAATCAAATATTTGGAGGCTACATTAGACAACAGGGTAAGCTTTGTTAGTTATGCAAAGTTATTGTATAATTCTAAGTAGCAAGAGGCATTGCCAATTGAAATTTAAGATTATGCAATTTGTTCTTTGTGTGACACGTTTTTGGAACAGAAGTGACAGTTTTCCATACACTTGCAGCTGTCCAATTTTCATAGTTATTTCTTTACAGCATTTACATGTTTCAAGGTCCTGGTTTTGGCTTGCATGGAATTGCTGTTTTCGATGTACTATTGTTGGATAAATTTTTAGTGGTTAATTTTCTATAGAAGCTGTTCATGTGCTGCTTTGCCAGATGAAGCCTAATCTGTATTTTTAGTTCTTTGATTTGTAATATATCAATAGTTGTCTTTCTACTTTCATCGTGTATGTAGTTCTCTAGACTATAACAAGGTGGCTCATGCAGGTTCTTCACTGCATATTTTGTCATGAAGTTAAAGATTAACTTGCTCAGGATTTTGTGTTCATCATCAAACTAACTACTATGCAATGCTGTACTACAATAAAGTTCAGCCGTGATTTTCCATATAGTATGACAATTTATATCTCAAACCTACTAAAATGTATATATAATGAATGCATTTTTTTGTTTGTTTGTTTGTTTTTTGTTTATATCAGAATTAAAAGCAATGGAGGTGAGTAATTGCAGAGTAAGCGGACTGAAACCAGTTTTGTGCAAGCGTAAGAAAACGGGAAACGTCGTGTAGTAATTCCTCAAGTGACTGAAACACCTGAAGCGTAAGGTTACTTGGCTGCATCGCATTGTTTTGACGAGGTCACGGGGATTTGGTATTGTAATTCATGAAACTACATATGTTTTGTGAGTTGAAAGCTGATATAATCTGGGATACTACCAGCTGAATATTCCAGTCTCTGCCTATAGAACTGGAATGCACGGTCCAGTGTATACCAGTAGCCCTGGCATGCACGGTCCAGTGTATACCAGTAGCCCTGGCATGCACGGGCCAGTGTATACCAGTAGCCCTGGCATGCACGGTCCAGTGTATACCAGTAGCCCTGGCATGCACGGGCCAGTGTATACCAGTAGCCCTGGCATGCACGGTCCAGTGTATACCAGTAGCCCTGGCATGCACGGTCCAGTGTATACCAGTAGCTCTGGCATGCACGGGCCAGTGTATACCAGTAGCTCTGGCATGCACGGGCCAGTGTATACCAGTAGCTCTGGCATGCACGGGCCAGTGTATACCAGTAGCTCTGGCATGCACGGTCCAGTGTATACCAGTAGCCCTGGCATGCACGGGCCAGTGTATACCAGTAGCCCTGGCATGCACGGTCCAGTGTATACCAGTAGCCCTGGCATGCACGGTCCAGTGTATACCAGTAGCCCTGGCATGCACGGGCCAGTGTATACCAGTAGCCCTGGCATGCACGGGCCAGTGTATACCAGTAGCTCTGACATGCACGGTCCAGTGTATACCATTAGCTCTGGCATGCACGGTCCAGTGTATACCAGTAGCTCTGGCATGCACGGGCCAGTGTATACCAGTAGCTCTGGCATGCACGGGCCAGTGTATACCAGTAGCTCTGGCATGCATGGTCCAGTGTATACCAGTAGCTCTGGCATGCACAGGCCAGTGTATACCAGTAGCTCTGACATGCACGGTCCAGTGTATACCATTAGCTCTGGCATGCACGGGCCAGTGTATACCAGTAGCTCTGACATGCACGGTCCAGTGTATACCATTAGCTGTGGCATGCACGGGCCAGTGTATACCAGTAGCTCTGGCATGCACGGTCCAGTGTATACCATTAGCTCTGGCATGCACGGTCCAGTGTATACCAGTAGCTCTGGCATGCACGGGCCAGTGTATACCAGTAGCTCTGGCATGCACGGGCCAGTGTATACCAGTAGCTCTGGAATGGAAAGAATGGTCCAGTTTCTACCAGTAGTGCTGGAATGGACACCAGATAAATTATCCTTGAAGTTGGCTGGAAATCTGTCAAATATGCAGCAACTATGAAACAAAAGATTTTAATCAACTGCAAGGATAGTTTCTTGGTTCTGAGGTAGATTCATTGGAGATTGTTATTTCTGAGTGAGGTATTTGGCTGCAATCTGGAAATTAAATCTTAAACCTAGTTTGGAAGAATACAAGATCGTAAAGGATTTCGGCTTCTCCAGTAAAGCACAGGTATTTGTTTAATTGTGTGTGTCTTGGGTTGAAGGGTTTGTAAACATTGTATGAAAAGTTTGTAAATGATTGTGTAAATTTGATGCCCTTGTTGTGGCATACTGTGTTTTTGCTAAATCTGTTCTAAGGGAAGTGATGTTGCTTAATGTCTCCTTAACACGGTACACGATAATACACGAAGAAAAGCTAGAGGGTAGTTGAGCTGTTTTTAAGGGAATGAGTTTAGAGAAGACTGATGGTTAAGGTTAGGCATGTGTGTTTTGTAGATGTTTACGTATTTACAAAAAATAAGTAATTAGCATTGCTCATTATCTTTTAATCAAGAACAGGTACTTAGATGTTTAATTTTCAAAACATTGATTTAATTTAGACTTTTCCTTCAATGTCTAATTTTCTGATTTATTCATTTGTGCTTGAAAATCTTTTTAAACTGATCTATCCCTAACATTTCTTTTGTTTCTTTTTTTCACTTCTTGATTTGCCTTTCCTAGTTAATTCTTTGCTTCATTATTTAAAAATAATTTATCAACTCTTGCAGTAATTATACTTGTAAATATACATTTTTGTGGTTGATCTAACTTGTACACACTTTCTCTTACATTTAAAAGGGTGACTCATGAAGATTCATCCTTACCCACCTTAATCAGTGAACATCTTCGCACATGTCAAAACCCAGTAGCAGTGTTTGAAAGAATTCAGCACGTTTTTCAGCTAACTGTACGTAGTGAACCATTTGTCAGCTGTTGGCACTTTGATGAAATGAAAATGTATGCAAAAAAGAATGAGGACTGGCTATCGGTAATTGAACCAAGGAAACCAGTAAACAAACGGAGGGAAGTAGAAGTATGGAAGCAAGAAAAGGTAAAGGAATAAAAAGTATTTTTTGTAGGATAGATTGGAATATAAAAATGAACTGCTGCATACCACTTAATAACATTTCTAATGTTGTTTATTGGCGTGTCTTAATTTGTATTGAGAATTTTTCCGCTAGGTTAAAAGCTGTACGCAAGTATGCATTCCGTCACAATATTCAGAGCCTAATTAACTGTTTCTTTGTGACGTATTGATGACAGAAATATACCATGCACTTGTTTGGGATGTTGATGAAGCCTTGATTTTTAGCCACTGGTAGGTGCAAGTTTTTGGAAATGGTTCTTGTTTATATTTCTTACACATTACTTCCCTCTAGTTTCACTGCTTCAATCATTTTGACTTTTTCAGTTCTACCCATGTTATTAGTTTATTACTGTACACCTGAGTATTTTCCTAATTTTTGTCTGTTCAGTCTTCATGGTTTAGGTTAATAACGTAATTCCTGATTAAAATGAAGCTGTCTGCCCTTGGTTGTTCCTTCATTTTGTTTGCATTAATCTTGTACATTGTCGTGGAACACACAACAGCTGCCAGTATTTGGCAACATACTGTTTATCTTCTTCTTCTCTCTTCTCTCAATATACTTGTATTACTTCAACACTTGATTATTGTATTACGTCTACTCTTGATTATTTTTTTTAAGTTGTGTTCACTTCTAATTTGTACCTTGTCATTTCTTTGTCTTGTTAATTTCCTTTCAGAGCTAGCTATATCTCTCTATATCTGCTGTATAACCACTTTTTTTTTTTTTTTAAGACATTGACCTATTACATGCGTGGGCCATGTGTTAAGAATAGCTTTGTACTTGTATGATGACTGAATATTTGGGTTTTGATAGTTGCATGAGACTTGAAGAGGAAGGCATATTTAGATGTGTGTATCTAGCCTACTGTAACTTTTTTTTTGTTTTGTTTTCTCATAAAGTTAGGTTTAGAGGAACAGAACACCCTTCGAAGTAATGTTTTCAGCATCTTTCGTGTGAGTTTTTCATAATTAACTGAAGGTGCAGATGTACTAATAGTGCATTAGGAATAGGGAATTTAGATAAATAACTAGTTGTTTATATCCTTAGATTAGTGAAATTGAAATTTGCCCTGTTCTATGAGGAATATAAATGTCCTAGTAACTGGTTTCTTAGTACCTGGCACTCTTTGGCTGCTGGCAACAGGGCAGGTTTTTATCTCGGGTATTACCAACATCAAATCATAAAATGTTTCTCTGTTGGAGACATGGCATGCAGTGTGAATTTTACGATGCATTTTGGCAATAAATCCTAACACCTTTGTTGGTGTTTTTGTTTCAGAGCAGTGAAAAGTGTTGGCGAGTGCCACAAACAAGACAAGCTTATATATTTTCCACCAAGTTCTAGTGTAGAAGCATGCTCTATAAGGAGAAAAGCAATACTAGATGATGGTTCTCAGCCCTTTTGTTTCCTGTCGGGAAGGACAATTCTAACTGTTGCAGGTTACAGTTCTCCATTTCTGCTATAGAGCAGTAGATGAAGGAACCTGTTGTCCTGTCACTATCAGGTAGAGATGGACAGTTTCAGGGGCCCAGTGTTGGAATGAGTAGACTGGATGAACGACTCGGTTTGTTTGCTGTAAGAAAAGCATGAGATAGTGGATTTTTCAAGACAAATGCTGCCCTCTTAAGGTTTCTCTAACTAATACTTCAAAGCAAGATAAGAGCATCTGGTTCTGGTGCATACGGTTCCTGCTGGTCTTACAATCTTTGACACAGTGAGTAGATATATCAGTGACTGGTTACTTGATGCAGTATGATAGGCTTAATTTTGAATGGTATTTAATGAAAGTGATTTTGATTGGATTGCTCTTATGATAATGGAAAATTGCTGTAATTGAGTTGTGTAGCAAACAGACAAGGTATAGAGCAAGGAGTTTGGTAAGTGGGAAAATTGTGAGGTTATAACATAAACTAAGAATTTCAGGGTTATGAACATATCAAAAATGGTAATACTTAATTTAAGGCAGAAGGAGAAAACAAATGGAAAATTACAGGCCTAGCTATATGGTCTAAGATTAAGTGAATTTGATTTTCTGATGCAGATAATGTTCTGAAGGAAACTTTGCATGAGCCACCTTGACAAGTAGTGTAATAGCATTTATTTGGGCGCAAATAAGTCAGCCTTGAGGACAAGACACCTTAACCTGAATTGTGCCACACTAATATTGAGTAATTCTTTGTTTCAAAATTCTGTTTTTCAGATGGTCAATAATTATGTTCAAATTCTTTGTGCATTGCAGTCAAATTCCACATGCAGTATTGTTGCTTATGTGTGTGGCAATGACAAAGCCATTGGTTGATCAGTAAGCTATTCTTCCATAGCTCAAAATTGTTTTTATATATCACTCTGATACAAAAGTTTACACTTAATAGCGCCTCAAGATAAAGGGGCTTGTGTCTGCAACTTAAATGTGTGTAAGATTCGGTACTTTAATTTATACAGTGGCCTATATTGTTCCGTTTTATTGTAGCAAGTGGAATCCATTTTTTCTTACAGATATAGTTTGTACAATATTTATTGACTCATGGGTTTGTGTTCCAATTTTAATGTTGGATGGGCCCATGGCTCTTATACATAGATTTGTATATGTTTATTCTCACATTTAGAGATATCTAATATTTCAACCAATACTTGAATATTTTTTTTTTTTTTTTTTTTTTTTTTTTTTTTTTAACACGGGTACAGGGAAGATGAATTCTGACTCCTGACAGCAAGCTTAGAATTCTTCCTCCCTCAGCTTAAGCTTTACCATACCAGTTTTCCCTGCAATCCTGATCTGCTGGTTGGCTTGCATGCAGGTCCTTTATTACTGCTGGGTGAACAGTTAAGGCTCAGTGACCAGACGTCTTTACCTTCTCCCAGGGTTATAAGGAAAGATTAAAGAAACTAGATCTCTCATTACTGGAAGACAGAAGAGTTAGGAAAGATATGGTTGCAACATAATAAATTTTCAGGGAATTGTAAGGGCAGGCAATGACATTATTTGGAATGTGTTGTACATAAACAATGAGTCAGATGGGAACATAGTACCCAAATAAGCCACAGAGACATTAGAAAGAATTTTCTCATTGCCATAGTTGTGAACAAATGGAATGCCCTATAAAGTAAAGTAGTGGGAGCAAATGCCATAGATAGCTTGAATTGTAGATATGACAGAGCTCAGTAGATTCAGGAACCTGTATACTAGCCGACTGAAGGCTGAGAGGCGGGACCAAAGAGCCACAACTAAACCCCAACCAACATAATTAGGCAAATATGACTGTCCCAGCCAATCATACCCCATACAGGGCTCTACCAGACCTTAATCCAACCCACACTTCCCACCACCACCATCCCCATACTCTTCCCAACACCATCACCCAGCACTTTCCACCACCACCCACACACTCCTCAAACTGGAGGAATGGTCTAAAAAATGGCTGCTAAAGTTCAACTCAGGGTAGTGTAAAGTAATGAAATTAGGTGAAAGGAGCAGAAGGCTGAAACAAGGTGCCATCTGGGAGGTGAAATCCTGCAAGAGTCAAATAGAGAGAAAGATCTTGGGGTCGATATCACACCGAACCTGTCCCCAGAGGCCCACATCAAAAGGATATCAGCAGCAGCATACGTTAGATTGGCAAACATAAGAACTGCCTTTAGAAACCTGTGTAAGGAATCATTCAGGACCTTGTATACCACTTATGTCAGACCAATCCTGGAAATATGCAGCTCCAGTCTGAAGTCCATACCTAGTTAAACACAAGACAAAGTTAGAGAAGATTCCGAGGTATGATTGACAGTTGAGAGGCGGGACCAAAGAGCCAGAGCTTAACCCCCGCAAGCACAACTAGGTAAGTACTTCCAACCACCACCCACACACTTGCCACCACCACCACCCACACTTGCCACCACCACCCACACACTTGCCACCACCACCACCACTCACCCACTTGCCACCACCACCACCCACACACTTGCTGCCACCACCACCACCCACACACTTGCCATCACCACCACCACCCACACACTTGCCGCCACCACCACCACCCACACACTTGCCATCACCACCACCACCCACACACTCCCACCCCCACCACCCACACACTCCCACCCCTACCACCCACACACTCCCACTCCCACCACCCACACACTCCCACTCCCACCACCCACACACTCCCACTCCCACCACCCACACACTCCCTGCCACCACCCACACACTCCCTGCCACCACCCACACACTCCCACCCACCACCCACACACTCCCACTCCCACCACCCACACACTCCCACTCCCACCACCCACACACTCCCACTCCCACCACCCACACACTCCCACCACCACCACCCACACACTCCCACCACCACCACCCACACACTCCCACCACCACCACCCACACACTCCCACCACCACCACCCACACACTCCCACCACCACCACCCACACACTCCCACCACCACCACCCACACACTCCCACCACCACCACCCACACACTCCCACCACCAGTACCCACACACTCCCACCACCAGTACCCACACACTCCCACCACCAGTACCCACACACTCCTTCTACCACCGCTTCCTCTACATTTTCATTGTGCTTTCTAGTATTGAATTTTCTCTTCTGGTCTTGCCTCCTAACCTAAGTTTTAAGCAGGATATCTTTAATATGTTGACACGTTTTGTCCTCTGCAGAGAGGTATCCAATTCTAATGCACTGGTGATTCTGTTCAACGTTTCAAACTCATCATGTTGGAAATGCAAGACTTTTCTCCTGAATCGCTCCTAGACTCGGTAACTGTGAAGAATAGCTATTTTTTTTTTAATTTTAAGCAGTACCAGCATTCTCTGCTGAGTAGTGCTTTAGCAGTTTCATTTAGTGAACTTTGCAGGCATAGTTGTGGTTTGTTTATTTAATATTGAGTGTTACTAACTTATTATGTCATTAATTTTACAAACCACTGAGATCATGCGAGGCATTGCTTGACCCATAAAGTGCCGTGATGAAAATACAGTACTGTACCTGCATGTTTGCTCACATTAAAAAAAATACCAAAATTCCCACAAAATATTTTTCTTTTTAGAATTATTAATTTGATTGGAAATGTAGGGAAAAGTGGAAATAAATGAAATGTCTGCATTTTGTTGTTTAATGTAGTGTGAAGCAGGGGAGTTGTGGAAGCTTACTGCTTTGCTAACGCACGTCATGTGGGAGCAGTTAGAATCTCGGATTCTAGCAGATACAACAAATATCAGTTACAGAATTCACAGTAGTGGTCAAGGGGAATTGCCTCATCAATGAATTGTTCTCAAGTGTCAGTTCACTCAATTGTGGACCAAGTTGTAGGATGATAAAAGTTTGGTTTTGTGTTCACAACTGGTCTATAATTCTTTTGGTGCTGCTCTTGAACTTTAGTGTCAGAAAATCTTTAAGATCTGTTCAACAGTGAGTTATATCCATCTCACTCACCTTTCTTTAATGCAGAAAATGCCTGTGCTGATTTGAACAGAAATTAATTTCAGCTTCAATTTTTGTTTGTTGAAGTCTAAAATAATTGTTGTTCACTCACTGATCACTCATATTTTTCTGTTCAGACATGACTGGAGTCTCCAAACATCGCTGGAAAATGATTAGCCATCTTTGCCTTTCATCAGGAAAGCCTGACCAGTTGCCAGATTGCTGCTACAGGTCTCCCAAGTCAAAGTGCATTCAGCAGGATCTAACATAAAGGGCAGAACATGAAATTATATTGCAGCCTCCTAGTCTGGAAGGCCAAGGTGCAGCTCAGATTACTAGGATTTCCTTTTCTGCTTATTCAGTCTGCGCTTGCCGAAGAGGTGGCAGGTAGCAGGCATACAAACATCTGATGGCATAGTCAGGAAGTGTTTGTTCCTGAATGGCTTTCTGACATGAAGCCAAGAATAGAAGTGTTTGAGATGGAAGCACACTCAGAGGCATAAGGAATGGATGGGATATGTTATCTACTCATTCTCACATGAATATCCTTTAAAAACGTTTTTCTTCAATAAAGGAAGAATTTGTGCCCGTAAGGAGAAGCCTAGTGCCAACCGTGAGTGTCCACTACCCATGATGTAGCCAGTTTGTGGCCGCCTCTTCCCTCTATGATCAGGACTTGCATGATTTGCTCAAAGGAACAGATCATGAAACTGTTACTGCGAAACCTTTTAGATTACCTACTGCCAGCATCACAATACTTTCCAGAGATGTGAGTTTTTACTTTGGAGTGATGAAATGTCTTATTATTGAGCCAGTAGTGAAATATCTAGATCAAAAATCACTGGTGGGTTCACCTGGGCTTTAGGGGCCGGGAACTCATTTTCTCAAACTTCCTGAAACTAATTTTTTTTTTTTTTTTTTTTTTTTTAAGTAAAGGCTCCCACTTTTCCTAATGAAGCAACATCGTAACGTGAGCACACAAATAATTGAGGTTTTAGAACAAAGAACTTGCACTTGCAGTAATATGTAAAAATTATGAGAATCGATCAGAAAATTATATTTTTGAAGTCTCCAAGTTGTAAATGTTGTTCATGCAAATAACTGAAGTTGAAGTCACGACAGTAATTAAGGTCGTTCTACTTTATGGATTTTCCTGTAAGTTTCGTTCACTATTGCTGGGCAGTAATACTAGAATATGCAAAAGTTGTAGGTCAATATCTTTTGAAACAAAGTCAAGAAAAAAAAAGGGGGAGAATTTCACATTTACCGAATCTATACATTCATTCAATCTGTACATTACATTTCACAGCATTGACTTTATTACGACTTACATCTCATATTGATCTCTGTTCTGATACATGTAACTATTATTGAAAATGGACTGCAGTAATATTTGGGTGCTTGGATTTAAAAAACAAACAATTTAGTAACTTTATTGCCAACATATAGGTGATAAGGCCCCTCATCTAGTCCTCATTCATATCAGAAATGCTTGGCACTGTGTCAGCTTCCATGGCAGTGCCTGGCAGTTAAGTGTCAGCAGGTACAGTACCTGGTAGTGAACCATCATAGCTGGCAGTGGGAGGTGGCGAGGCCGAGCGTGCACCACTGACGCTATTAGCGTTGGAATGCTGGCTGCTATCACGTGCTTCTCACCTGGCTTTGTCTTCTTATTCATATTTGTAAGGCTTGTAACATTATTTCCTTCTTATTTCCCTTCAACACGTAAGGCATTGTAAATTCGAGCGATGAAACAAGAAAAGAAGGGATGTGACAGGACAGCGATGGAATAGCGTGTCGCACCTCCACACTTTCTGGAACACCCGTAGTGACTGAGCTAGTGGTTTTTTCACTCTACACGAGCCCCACACAGAGGCAATCAAATGTTGCCGGTGGGCATAAAACATGTATATTTTTCCGATTTTTTGGGGAAAAAAAAAATCAGATTGTTAGAAATCAGTTACACATGACAGCGAGGATGAAAGCAAACAGTGTGTACTCACCTATTTGCACTCGTGGGAGTTGAGCTCTGGCTCTTTGGGTTGTGCAGTCAGGGAGGGTGGCTAATTTATTCGTAAAATATTTATTATTTAACGTATTTGGCGAGATTTTCACGGCAATGATGTTATAGGCCAGAAGAATTTAATGAATTCAATATTTTTCTATTTTTGGTAAATATTATTGAGTTCCCGGCCCTATATTTTAGTCACGTTACTTACCTCGTGGGAAGTGGCGAGTTAAGTGTAGAAGTGGCAGCTCAACCAATGAGCATTTGTTCAGTGCATGTCAGCCGATTTGTGCAATGCTCAGAAAGCAAGGGTTGTCACTTTAAGTACTGAAGGATACTGACAGTACAATCTTGTTGGTACATTATTTGTATTAAAAATTAAAATCTTGTATCGTAATCAATGTTGTTTGTTACTGTGGGTTTTCTATTGCTGGCGTTACAAGTTGTGCAATTTTGGCCAGAGTTTCACCTTTGAGCCAAATGAATTCTTGCTTCACTTATCTTAAAAGCAGGAAAATATCTTTGGAATTGACAATAAAATCTTTTGTTTCACTGCTGCATCATATTTGACAGATTTTACAGTCAACTGCCAGGATAAGTTTCTGTTGGAGGTAGGTTAGGTAAGTGTTTAACTGGTTCAGACTTTGAAACTTGAATCCCATTAAAGTTTCTACTGGTAAAACGTTAAGACTGCTAGATTTCACATTTTGTAAAGTGAATAGAAAAATTACATTTTGGGTCTTTAAGGGTTTTATTAATAGAATAGAAATAAATGAATATGAATGCAAGTATCATTGAACTTCGACAATTTGGTTTGAAATTAGACAATACGGTTAAACCTTCTGTTTCTTGGGTTGAACATTGGTACATAACTGCATAATAACCATTATTGTAATGCTTTATTTTGATATGTGGAGGACAGAGGGATGGCACGTTTCCCTCAGTGAATAAGAAAGAGATTGGTGTCCATATTAGCCTCCTCGTTTTCCTTTATAGCTGAGACAGCAAGCTATGATCATTCCACCACGGGGTGTTTGACAGTTCTGCCAAAACTGTAAATCAGGGATAGAGATGGTTTAAAGATGGGTTGTGATCTTTGGCTGTAAAAAATAGAAAAAGCCCTGGGAGAAGAGGGAGAGGTGCAGGGCAAAGTTTATGTAGAAGCAAGAGTTTTAGAGAGGTGAGAAGAGGCAGTGTCCAGGGCTTGACTGCTCGTTGATGCGGTAAAAGCATGTTGTTTACCTCTCTTTTTCCCTTATAAAGAGTATTGATGAAGCAAAGTGCATTCTCTAATCCCTCTCATGTTTATTATCCACACTCACTGTGACTATACACACACATTTCCCACTACTATAATTCAACATTTTTGTTCACTGCTCCCGCTTCTTGGTTAATTCGTCAGTGTGACATTTTTGCCTCCATTCTCTTATCCTTTTCGACATTGTGTAACAAACCCAAAAATGACAAGACTGTTATTTTACACGAGAGTAAGTTGAGGCAAGAATGGTTGCGTGGCAGACGTATGGTGATTTGCATGAATTGCCATGTTTCTCAGGGACTGGTCAACCATAATTGAGATACAAAAATTTCTCATTGATTAGATAATATATTAATTTTTAACAAATGCATTACATTAAATGCATTTGTGCATATATTTCAGGAATTCAATTATATTTTTAAAGTTGTCTACTGGCAAACATTTTAATTCAGCTAATTTCAGTTTTATCTGGTGACTGCTGTAGGGTAGATTGAGTCATAAATTGCATCAACCTTATCTAATGGAGTTTCTGTATTTCCAAAGCTAACAAGTTCACTTCTGGAACTAAAATTTTGTTTTATCTGGAATTATAGTGCATCCTAATGTCTTCCAAATCATTGTTTAAGGTAAGGTTTTTTATTCTTGTCTTAAAGACTTCTTGATTAACTTTATTTCCAGGTACAGTATAGTATCTATTCTGCCTAGGTCAAATTAAACAAAATTAATGCATTTGTAAGTTTTAATTTTTTTTCTGGACGGGTCTAATGTTGGTACTAGCTACGTAATTAAATTCATGCCAGTCCCTTGAGTCATTGTAAGCCTATTGGGCACCAAGGGCCAGAACCTGGCCCTCTTTAACCCTTAGACCGTGCAATACATATACATGGGTACCTCGGTTTAAGAATTTAATCCATTTCTGGAGACGGTTCGTAAACCAAAGCTAATCTCCCCATAAGAAATAATGGGAAATGAATTTATCCATTCCTGACTTTCCCAAAACTTCACTTCAAAGTAAATTTTATACCTAATTCACCGAAATCTACACTACAAAAGTATGTTAACACTATCGGTAACTTTGGACCGGACTCGCGTCCATTATTTTTCTTCTGAGTCCTAACTTTGGACCGGACTTGCGTCCACTACAAAAAATATTTGTATAAAATTCATTTTTTATCCGATCGACCTCGGGATAGTATCAAAATAAGCACCTTTAGAATGCGCACAATTTGATACCAAAATGAAAGATGTAACACAAAAATTTATGTCAGAACACTGGAAAGATAAATAATTTTGTGATGATGAGCTTCCAGAATTAAAATATTTGTTAAAATTCCAGTTATTGCTCTATTATTATGGGACTAATTTTAAAATACGTGCCTTTTTATTGCGAACAATTTGATACCAAAATGAAAGACGTAACACGAAAATTGATGGTATCAAACTGAACGAGTATACACATTAGGTTGCAGTGTACAAATTGGTGCTCATTCACGGGTAACTTTAGGCTTTTCTGCGGGGAGGCACTCCAAACTTTTGTACATTATATTCATACACATCTGTAGGGAATTTAATTGCGAACACAATGATATCAAAATGAGCAACGTAGCACGAGAATTAAGGCGAGAAGAATGGAATGAGTATGCACATTTTACTGATTTTGTGCGCTCACGGGTAACTTTTGCCGACTTTAGGCTTTGCTGTTGAGTCACGCCAGGCTTTTGGACATTATATTTATACACACCTGTAGGGAATTTAATTGCAAACACAATGATACCAAAATGAGTGACGTAGCACGAGAATTAAGGTGAGAAAACTGAAACGAGTATGCACATTTAGGTGTCGGGCACTTGCCCGCACACTCGCCTGCACGTCGGGTGCATGACCCCTAAGTTGACCGCGCGCCTGTCCGGTGACCGATAGTGTTAAAGTTATTACTTAAAGTTATTACAGTGAACACTGTGAGGGGTCGGCCAGTTAATGTCCCTTATGTGTAGTGGAAGCGTGTTGAAC